CTCTTTCTCCTCCAGAGTCCAATTGGAGTGTGAGGAGTGGGGAATAAGCAGGTCAATGGATGTCCTGGTCTCCTCTGCCCTGACGCTGCTGAGGTTTCTAAGAATCAAGCCTGGGGTTGCATGGGAGAGAGCAGAGTTTGGATTGACCCTTGACCTCCTGGGGATGTTAACCTTGTGAGGGGTCTGTGATGCTATAGAGATTTGTTCTGCTGGTTGCATTGTGCCAAAAGTGGCAGGAAAAGGGGAGGACTTCTCCGAGAGCCCAAAATATAGTAACGCAAAACCCTCTTTGTATGGAGGCTTTGGTAGGTTAGAAGGGGTTGCAAGCTGGGAAAGGAGACAGAATCTGCTGCTTTCCCTCTTGCTCAACCGCCCTCAAAAAGTCAAGAAACATCTTCCTATGGCCTCCTGCAAAGGCAGGAAAGCTTAGGCGCTGCATGGGCGAGCCCGTTTGCCTTGTGTCCCTAGAAAAGGGGGACATTCTAAACAGGTAGTCAGAGATAGCGTCTGAGTGAACAGCAGGTACCCATAAGGTCTATGCTGTGGGCACAGAGGGTCAGGAATCAGCTCCACCCCAACTTAATCTTCCCATAATACTCCCCAAAATGTAAACAGAGCCTCTCCATTGACTGAGGAATCTGAGCTCCTCTATTGACCAAATTGGATCTGTAAGATAAAAGCTTGCAAACAGCAAGACACTTTGGTTGGGGAGGAGGGGTTGGTATCGCCTTCCTTTAGTTAATGAGCAGGATGAGCAGGGAGACTGCAGCCACGAGTCTCTCCAGGCTGCCTATACCATCTGACCCTGCACCAGCTTCAAGCACATCACTGCGAGCTCTTGGCAAGTCAGGAAGAAGGGCAAGCACCCAGAGGACGACTGCTAGGGTCACGAGGCACGTGTCCTTGCAGCACATATGAGGTCTTGAATTCTCAGAGAGGTATTCTTCAGGGCACCCAAAATTTCCTGCCCAAATACAAGTGAGCTCCTACTCCCCAGAAGTTCCTCCATTATACTGTTCAGTTCTGTAAGGCCCAGGCCAGGTGGCAGAATGAGGTTCCACCTGGCCCCATCCTCCTAGTTTTGCCCAAAATTCTTCTCTCATACCTCATCCTCCGCTCAGTGTCCCAGAATGGACCGCTCCACTTCCAACAGCACCTTATTTTCCAATAAAAATATAACTGAAAGAAGCATACATGATATATTTATACTAAATATCACATTCACACGGGTTCCAAGAATCTGCAGCAAGAATGATCACGGTGTCTTCCTCTAAGACTGAGCCATGCAGCCATCTCCCAAGCGCTCTGAAGATGCCTTCCTTTCCCCACCACCCCCTCCAGGGGTGCTTGTGTCAAAGTACAACAAACCAGGGCAGCTACTGCAAACCCCTAGGTAGTCTGTACCTTTTCCTTCCTAACGCTGCTCACCTTCTTCCAAGGAACTGGGTTCCAACCCACAGCAGGGTGGGGATGGATTCAGATTCTTCTACTCACCACCCTCGCTATGTTAAGCACCTACATCAAAGCTTTCAAGTCAGTGTCTCCTCCCAGTGACAAGAGACACTGGGTCCTGGGTCTTCAAGGCTATCAGACTGAGTGGCTCCCCACAACCTTCAGCTCACTTGTCCTTTCTGCAAGTGATTTGTTATTTTAAAAAAAATGTTTCATATATATACATTTCCCTCAGAAGGACCCAAGCAACTCTGAACAGAGTGTCTCAGAGGAAGAGGCCTGAAGGATGGGAAGGAAGGGGTTGTCAAGGCATGAGCTAGTATCCCAGACCACCTGCTGAATCAAGGTAGTCTTGCTTGAAACATCTCTAAGCACAGGTACAAAAATAAAGCGAACTATGACTTCATATAGATATATAGATATATAGATAAGCTAGCTAGCTAGACTTGATATAAGTTTTCTTTCTATTTATATATGTGTGCCAAGGGCAGGAGCTCTTACTCCTCTTGCCCGACTTGAGCCTTGGGCCCTCTGTTTCCCACTCCCCAGATGTCCCACTTGGCTGCCTCCCACGCTCTAATATTGCATCTGATCCTTGCACCCACCCACCCCCCCTTACATAAGTTCCCCTCTCTCCTTAAAATAGAGCGCATTATATGTATTTATATAATTTTATATACAATCTCCATAAAAAATACACTAAAGATGGTATATTACTAATTTCACCCTCCTACCAAAACAGAAGTTGCCTAGCAAAGAAAGAGTCAACCAAAAAGAGGGTCTCCTAGACCTGATGCTACTCAGGCAAATTAGTGTGTCCCTATGAATCTCTTACACACACACACAAATACCCCACCACAAACATACCACACAAACCATACCATACAATACCACACACACACACACACACACACTCACACACACACTGAGTTACTTCCTGAACCCAGGAAAGGAACACAGAATAGACAGCTGGCTGGGAGGTAGAGAAGACCAGGGATATAACCTGGTAACTGCAGAGAGACAGGTGAAACAATCCCATTTCTCTGACCCAGCAAGATACTGTCTACTCACCAAAGACCTCTCATTGTTTGAAGGTAGTGTAAGTATTTGGTGATAGAGTGATTGACAATTTCCCTTCAGAGGCTTTCAAGATGACCATGAAGAGGTCTATTCCTCACCACCAGAAACAAGGCTTCATAGATACCCTAAGCCAAATTGAAGCAAAAAGCCCTAAATCCTCATAACTAACATGAGTCAGCATCTGTCCCTTCCCTCTACTGTGAAAAACGCACACATGGCCCAAAAGCATGCTCGCAGAATTTCTAAGGCTGAAAATGCAAATTCCCCTCCCCAGCCCGACCCTCCTCCCTTCCCAGCTCCCCTTCCCCACCCAACCACCTCCCCATCGTAAACCATGCACAAGTTCAAGATCCCTGGAGTCATAAAGAAGTGGGGTAAGGAGGAAAAGGGAACCTAACTGCTGTTTATATGGGGTAGAGGGAGGGAGCTTGCCCTAGTTCCTAAAAATCAACCAGGAAATCTAGTGCCTGGGAGAGGTGGGATTGGTGGAGCACGTTGCTTTAAGAACCAAAGACAACGGCCCCCACAGATATTATCTTCCAGTAGGGCGGGAAAGGCAGATACCCCAGGGACAGAAGCTGAGAATTCGTAGCACTCCCAATGCCACAACTGGCCCTACTGGCCATTGTCTGAAGTTGATGACAATTTTGTCAGTCCTCTGCAGAAACTCTAACTACTACCATGGGCCCCCCATAAAAGAGAGTTTCTAGTTCTCCATTTGCTATTCTACCAAAGCATTTAACAGTCAGGAAATTCTGACACTTCCGTAAGGTATGGCCAGTCCTTAATGATATTTGTGTTCATGCTTAATTTTCCTTTTTCTACACAGAAACCGTTAGGCATTGGGGGTGTCTGTCTTTGGATCAGACTCAACCTACTGGAAATTAGTCTATCAGTTTAAAATTAGCTCATTCTAAGCAACCCAACACACCAAATATCTGGTGGGAACAGTATATTCGCTCATGAGAGACTTATTTGAAAGTATAGATTGGGGGCCCCAGAAACAAAGCATTGGACCATAGTGGAGTCATTACCACTCTGAGAGAAGAGGGTAAGGGACACCCCTAAACAAACATCAAGTTGCTACGAGTGCTGAAGTCCAATCATATGGGCTTTGACTCTTGGTTCACTGGATTCTTCTAAAGAAGAGATTTTAATTCTGCCTCTTGGTCTGATAGGAGGCAGAGTCGGAGACATTAAAGAGGACAGAAGAATGGCTGGTGTCTGATTTCAGACTCTTCACCCTCTGATGTTAACCAGACTGGTGGCTTTCCCTTATCAAAGGAAAGTGAGGATAAAAGCTCTAACTATAAAGCCACTGTGAAGCTCCGTGGCCTGAAGGAAGTCTCTGTTACCTCAGGAAAAGGGTGAGAAGTTATAAAAAGTCCAGCCCCAGGCCCTCCTCTGCATCTCCAGCAACAGGGTCTTATGAAAGATGTTTGGGTAAAGGAGGCAAAAGCCACCCATCACTTCTGCTGACGAGAACAAGCTTGTGAAGCTCTTGAGAGAATGTGTTCCTTCTCTACTGCCAAAGAGCCGGTGATAGGATGGGGATCTTGAGACAAGTCTCCTAGCTTTGGGTCTGAGGAATCCCCCAAAAACAAAGAGATAAAGTTGAATTACCTCACAGAGAATACGTCCATGTTTGGTTTGGGCACTTAGTGTTATAGGCTAATTCTAAAAGAAGCAAGAAAGTCAAGTTCAGAAGCAAGACCTTTTCCAGGACCCAGTCTGGGCTGTGCCAAGACCCACCCCAGAGCCTTTTTCCATAATTCCATCACACTCCCTCCAAACCAATCTTCACTGCCTTATTCCCCAGGCTGCCTCCTCCCAGGCAATCGATCCCCTTCCCTTGGGACAGTCCCCAACTTGGAACTGCACCCTTCTGGGTACTAAGTTATCATGTAACCCTCAGAAGGAAGGTGAGGTTTATGTCCCTGGGTTTTGGTCACATGCCAGGACCCCACCTTCTCCTCCACGATTTATGTGGCTTTCTGATCCCCTTCCTACCTTACAAACACCTGGCAAAAGAACTTGACCTCCTCTCTATAATCCAATTCTCTAATTCCCCTTCCTGAAATACTCCATCCCATCAATTACCTTATTCAGCCTAGATCTGGGGCCCTCTCCCCAAAGCAATGAGCAGCATGACCCCAAAGGGCTTCACACTCCAGCCTGCCCAAAAAGACCAGAAAGGCATAGCTGGGTTGAGAGATGCCCTGAATACATGCACTTCCCCTCAGAGAGAGTGGTACTCAGGAGACCTGCCTCACCATCCTGTCCCCCTCTGCCCTTCCTACCTCCCAGTGGTGCCCCCAATGCTCCTTTACATGCAAGCAAAGCAAGGCCAAGATTACCTTTAGCTTTTCATATGATTCGCTACATAGTGATAAAATGTACTTTATGTACAATTCTTCCCCCCAGCCCACCCCAACCCCCAAAAGACTTTTTCTAAGAAAATTGGAAGAAACAGCTCCAGGCACATACACTTCAGCCCTGGGTTCTAATCCTGGGAAGTGGGAGCCAGGATCAGATCCCGATGCTCTGTGAAGTCTGTTTCTCCCTTGAAGCTACTTTTTAATCCACCTTGCCCCCCCAAATAAAGGAAATTCAGGAAATTCCACATCTGAATCTCTGGATGAAAAGGACAAAGGAAAACAACTAAAATCAGTTTGACTGCAAATATTTCAGACCCCCAAATCCAAAATCAAGACAGAGACCATTGAAAAATATTAATCACGCCTCACCTCAATTCACTCTTGCTTGAGACCCCCCAAGAGCATGAACATGGGACACAGTCCCCTCCACAAAGGGGGTCACAGATCCTGCCAGCCCCACAGAACAAAGTCCCCTTTCTGTGGAGAAAGTGAAATTTCAAAAGGCCCCTCATAAGACTCCTCTCACGGAGGTAAGCTCCTAGGGAGAAGGGCAGGGGAGACCATGGGGTTTCCTCCTCCTGTGAGGGTGAGGAACATATCACAGTCCATACACATTACATTACCCCACTCAAGCCAGGAACCTACTCAGCCTGGCCAACCAGCAGTCACGAAACAGCCTTCATATTGCTTATTGTCTTCCCCAAACGATTCCCAGACTCCCCAAGTGCCTGCAGCCTCAGGCCCCTTCAAGAATCATTTTGCCCTTTTCCTGGTCACCTAACCCTGAAACAGCTTTCCAGTCAAGACTCACTTTTCAGGGGCAGAAAACAGTCTGAGACCCAAGAATAGATTTTTATCTGAGCCACTTCTACTGCAAGGCTGCCACGCCACACAGGGGGAAGCTTGGAAGACCTCTGACTTCCCACCGATTGGCATGTGGACGTCCTAGGAAACTCACTAATGCTCATCCAATGGTCCGAAGGCAGGGGACAAAGGACATATGTTCCCTAGAAATGGCTGCAGCCCGATCACGCGCATACACCCACACCCTCACACGCTTGCACACAGCCAGCAACGTGTGTGTCTGGGACATCCTTGGCCTGCATCACAAGGAGAGAGGGGACCATATCCTTCCACTGCAGTTCTTAAAGGAAGGAGTAAAACAGCTCCTGGGGACGCAGGAAGGCTGCTGGCCTCCAAGGACACCATTGCAAGAAAGAACCCCTCTTTGGAGGAGAAATGAATGTGAGGCCACTGGGAGACAGGTTGGCCTTTCCCAAGCCTGGGGCTGCCCCAGCACAGCTGCTACCCAGCAGCCACCAGAAAGCATGGGCTTCCCTAATTTGGTCTGAAGTGCTGAGGTAAGGGGCACTGCCAGAGAAAGGAACAAGTCAGCACCAGTGTTAGCACTGGGGACATCTTGAGGTGGTGTGTCCCCAGGGAACACACGGACAGCATCTGAGGCACCACAGTCCTTACAACATCCTAAGGAAGCAAAGCATTCCACCTCATTTTCTCTTCCTGTGAAACCTCAGGGCCTAGAATTTGCAGCATGAGGCTCAGAAAGCTTGGCCAAATTTTCCTGATGTTCTGCAGACCTGATATCTCACAATTCATATTCCAGCAGAAATCCACCTTGCTGGAGGAACCATGCTGTGAGGTTACAAAGGCCACCTGGTGTGAGACCCCACCTCCAAGCCTGCACCCCACAAGAGGTACTCGGTGAGTCATTTTATGTGGGCATAGTGGCAGAGGTAATGCTGCCTCAAGAGGATGGAGTCTTCCAGCCTCTGCTTTTCCACTCACTGGAATTGCTGGCCCAGCAGTAATGTGAGTTGGACCCCCAGAGGAGTTCTCCCACACAGGCACCAGGCCCAACCTCGGGGAATGGGGCAGGAACTCTTTCGTTATGACTGTCAAGTTCAAAAATGAGCTGTGGTCATGTAACTTGCATGCAGTACCCCAAGGGTGGAGTTGGTCCCCGCTCACCAGGTGAGAGAAAGGAAGCACCGGGGTCTGTTTGGCAGAGAAGATTTCCTAAGATGGAAGCTCCCAGAAAGAGCAATTCTGGGTTCTCAGGGCCTCCCTTGTCTAGGTCATTGGACTGAGCCATTGGCAAACTGCAGCGAGACTAGTTAAAGCCTCCAATGCTTTGACTTGGCCAATGTCCAAGCAGGTAGAAGGGGAGCAGTGAATGTCCCCTCACCCATTGAGACAGCAGCACCAAGAAGGAAATACTTCAAGGAAGCTCAGCGCCACCTTTACTGCAGGGCAGCTAGAAGGATGGCTCCTTTCACAGGAAGAGAGCCCATGCAGCCCCATCCCCCATCAGGGCCTCTGCCCTTTTCTTGGGCAGCACCATTATCTTATTGGAAGAATCACTGTAAGGTAACCTCACAGAAGCTCTGGGTGCTAACAGTTTGAACTAGAACAAGATTTTGGCAGAGAAAGGATCAGAGCCCATGCCCCCAGCTACCACCCCTGTCACAAGCCATCCCCATGCCTCAGCCAGGTCCACATAAATAGAACTGGACAAAGAGGGGGGGATCCAGAGCACCCCAGAAAACAGAGGCTTCCTAGCTTCGTCTGCTCCCATCCCATTGGAGCGTGGGTCCATGGGGTGGAGGAGGCCCCAGGGCAAAGAGGAGTCGGCAGGCGGCACGTGGAGAGCAAGGAAGGGAGCCACAGGCGGGCTCCCCACAAGTGGCAATTAATCAATCTGGGGAATTAGCTCCCACAAAAGAAAAGGAGGAATCCAATCAGCGGCTTTGGAACAGCACTCCAGAGGGTGCCGAGCCAGAGGCAGATATAAATAGAGCTGCGGCAGCTCAGTGCTGAGCACAGATGGTTCCAGAATGGGAGGCCCTTTGGCCACAAGGCCGCTGGCTCCGGCTGGACCAAAAGGGACTGGCAGATGAGCTTGGGTTTGGGCCTGTCTCTCAGGCCTACTCTGAAGCAACTTCTGCTTCTGAAGCATGAGCCAAATGGTGGAAGGAGGAAAGATGCCAGTCTGGCCCTCTGCCTACCCACCCTTTGTCATCCAGGAGGCAAGAAATAAAGGCTTGGTTTAGTTCTCATTGCTGGACCCCCAAAGCAGATAGCCAGTAATCGTGGGAAGCCCACACTTATGCTCTGCATGGGAGAAGGTAGAGACAGAGAGTGAATTCGGCTGAGAAGGCATGAATTCTGTTTCAGGGAGAACAGCCAAGACAGAGACAGGGGGCACCCAGCCACAAGCCCCACGTCTGCTGCCTCTTCCTCCTCCTCTCATTGGCCACAGAAATCCATAGCACTTTGCTTCAATGTACATATATATACACATAGAGAAACCCACCAACTACATACATGTGCATTTGTATCTATATCTATATATATGTAGGGTCTGGAAGACCGCATGGAAGGCCAACCCACTTCCGAGACTTGAAAACCAGAAACAGAAGCAGAGAGCAGTAAAAGTCATTGCTTTCCTCTTCTTCACTTTCAAAGGTGTTTGAAGAGGTGAGAAAAACTAATCTAGTGAAGAAGGGAGAGGTGGGAGGAGGCAGATCTCCCTGTCCCCAGTTCACTTCTCGATCTCTACCTACAGAGAGAGCTCTGCCCCGAACCCCTGTCCTGGAAACGAGGACTCAGAGGAGACCCCCCTACTCTGGCAGGAGCGGGGGCAAGCTGAGGTCTAAGGCCCTCCTCTGAGAAGAAGGATGAGGGGGGGCAGCACACCCTTCATCGTACACCCCGCCTCCCCTCAGCCTGGCATCCTTGCTCTGGGGGCGCTCAGAATCGTGTGGTGTCACAGCAGAGTAGCGTGGCCGGGGTCGTCCTGGTCCATGCTGTTGAGAATTGCCGTCTGGTCTTCTGGAAGCTGGCGGTGATACAAGTCTGAGAGCCGGGCAAAAGGGTCAGGCCGGGAATGTCTCTTCTTCTTTCGGAGGCAGACAGCTTCATCGGGCCACAGAACCTGAGAGTTTGGAAGCTGCTGAGCCTGGGAGGCAGAACCGTCTAGGAGAAGGGGTTGGGCACGCGGGAAAATGAAAAGAAAAGAAAGTGGGTGACAGGCAGAGCACAGCCTCACACACTCATCTCCCTCTGCCTGGGCCACTACTCGGGATGTCTAGCATTAAGACAAAGAATCCCGAGCGTCTGGGAGACCAAAGCAAACTGCAGTGAAAGAACCACCTTCTTCACCACAGTGAACCCACCTCTGCTCCACTGGCTCCGCAGCCATCCAAGAAGTACAATGGACATGACTTTCTATAGATCCATAGATCTGGTCAGTCAATATTTCTTTTCTATCTTTTATTTAGTATTTAGTACATCTATTTAAAATCTTTTATCTATCTTTTTTCTTTTAATAAAGAAGTATCAATGCCTACTACCAGGTATCACCCTAGGTACCAGGGGTCAGGGTTTCTAACAGGTGGGAATGCAGTGCATCTTTTCTATCTTTTCCCAAGCAGTGATCAGCTTTACCCAAGACTCTCTTAAGTGCCACCAAGCCAGACCCTGCCCTTCCCGCACTGCAGGGTCTCCTCTCTGTCACATGGCCAGTCTGGAGACACAGTGGGACACCCTTGCTTTCTAGATTATACTTCAAAGTGACAGCAAAAAGGAAGAGGCAAACTGTAAAGACAAAAAATACAAAAATAAAATTTTCAGATAAGAAAAGTGCTATGAAAAAAGACAAAATAGGGTCATGTGAGAGCAAATGACTAAGTCACTGCTTCTGCTCTCAGAAAGAGTAACACTTGAGTTCAGTCTTGAATATGCGCCTCCCGAAGATCTGAGGGAAAAGTGTTCCCAACAAAAAGAACAGTCAGAATGAAAGCCCAAGTTAAGAGCAAATCTGGCAGGTTCCCCCAACAGAAGGAAGGCATCGCAGCGGAAGCAGAGAGAACAGAGGATGGTGAAGCAGAAGAGACTGACAAGTCATCACCAGAAGTTTGAAATCTGTTCTGGCTACAGCGAGAAGCTTCTGGAAGGTTTTAATCAGAATTGTGCATGCATATGTAGGTGCACGCATGCATAACTGAAAGAGAGAGGATGTTATAACGTTTCCTAAACATCACCCTGGTTGCTATGTGTAGAATATTCTGTAGAAGAAGCAAGGAGGAAGCCACAACAGTCAAGGCAAGAGATAACAATGACTCAGAAGTTAGTTTTAGCAGCTGAGACAGAAACAAGCAGTCAGATACAGAATACATTTTATAAATTGACCCAACAGACCTTACCAGGTGTTCTGGATGAAAGATGCGAGAGCAAGAACCAAGGTTGAAGTAGCCTGCACAACTGGGTAGATAGCAGTGCTATTTATGAAACTGGGGAGGAGCTGAAGATAAACACATTTGGAGAGGATAATCAATAACTCTATTTTGGACATTTTAAAGGCTTATAAAGCATCGAAGAGTATGTTCAGCAGGCAGCTAGAAACATGAGACTTGAGCTTAGGGAAGAGATCAGGGCAAAAACAGACTTATGAGAGTTGTTAGACCAGGGAACAGAACAGGAAAGAATATAGGCACTTATATGATGTGACCTTTGTAAAACAAAGATGACAGATAGACAGACAGATGGACCTTAAATTAAAATGGCTTTGCCTCAATTTCTCACACAAATTCTAAAAAAAACACATTTTCTTTTTCTCTCTCAGCAATCCTGTCTGCAAAATAATAGGAAACAGCACCACCCAAAAGGCTAAGTGAGAAATAAGCACTCAGCATCTTCCGAAACTTCAAGGAGCCTCTGGGTAGCATTTTTCCATAAGCCCATCTCTAAAGAAAGTCCCTCTGCAGGGGTCACTCAGATTGCAAGGATGCTGTTCAGCAGTCTCCTTTGACAGCCTATCACAACATGTCTGAAGCCACTGGTACAAAAGGCGTCTATGATAAAGAGTGAGAAATTTTCTAGGTCTAGAAAACAACTGAGTTATTTTACACTATCTTAGAAGCTACCTATTAATGCTAGATAAACTTAGACATAGTTCAATAGAGGTGTCTTGTCTACAAGATAAGGAGATTTCACTTTCTCACTAAGAAAAGCCAACCTGTTGGGGTTGCCATGGTGCCTCGGCACTGAGTAGGGTCCAATAATCACCATGTCCAACGAGAAGACCCAAAATAATAAAGAAAACTATAAGGAGCTAAGCTGGAACAAGTCATATTGCTGAGCGAAAAAAATAAGATACTAAGAGACTACTTTCATCGTTCAAAAATAAAAATCCATTCAAAGAACAGGATATATTGCATGTCTAGGATGTTCCTAAAAGGATGCATAGCACCAAGTGGGAGGAGACACAATCAGGAGGGCAATCAGAGCATTTAACTATATCCGCATTTTTATAGGAAAATTATATTGGAAAGTCATGTTGAGAAGAACAAGATAAGCTGGTGGATGCAATTCTAGAGGAAACCCAAGGTTGGGCTCCTGAGCCAATAATCCCATAATAATGGCAGGGCGAGGTGGAGAGAGGAGCAGGGCGCTTCCTGCCATTTACCGGATCGTTTCTTTGACTTCGAAGAGCCCTTAGATGACTTTTTGGGCTTCTTTATCCGTTGGTATTTCAGAGCCTCCAGCCTCTCAGGTGCAGCAGCATTCCCGGGTGCAGGTGGATGTGTTCTGGAAGGGACAATTAGAGAGGCACAGGTAAGCTCCCCAAGAGGGAGCTTTGGAAGAGAGGCTGGAAGGAATCCAACTAGTGGGCCCAGAGGAAGACAGGACAGTTCTGTGGGGTCCCAGGGTCCACGACGGTTCCTTGCCACCTGCCTTTCTATCACTCCTGGAAGGAAGAAAACCCAGTAGAACGTTCCAGCAGCAGGAGGCCTACCTCAGATGGAAACCAGGCTGCAGGGCAATCAGAAGACCTAGGAAAGGGAGAGAGACTTTAATACGAGCCCCATGGCGTAGAACTCAAGCTGTGAGGAATAAAGTCGGAGAAGGGAACAGCGCCAATATCTGAAGTTCTTAGAAACCATCACAATCAAGACCTTTAAAAACGAAAAATAAAATGGCAAATTAAAGTGGGTGGTGATCAACCCCAACCCCAATTAACTGTCCTCCTCCAAACAAGAGAAAGTCAGAACTAAATAAGAAACCCAACGCCCAGTGAGATGGAGGAACCTCAAACCCAGTTTCAAGGGGCTTCTCCCTTCAGCCCCTGGATTTGGGCAGAACCCCAATAGCCAAGTGCAGCAAATCCTTTAGGAGGGGTGTCTCCCTGACCCTCTGCAGACAGGGCTGAGATTTCATCAGTCATGTCAGAGAACAGGAGAGGGTAGAAGCAGATTGTGATGGTTACAGTGTCCAAACCTGGCAACCTTGCAAAGCCCTGGCCATTGGTAGTGAGCATCCAGTGAACCTCTATATTTTAAGATTCAATGGAGAAATGGGGGTTGGTGGGAAGGGAGACCATATAGATGATCTCTTTCTCCTCCACTTATAGAGTGGATGTTGCCATTTGCCTGACAGATCAATTTTTCATGGTTTAGACAAAGTCAGCACATTAGAGGGAGTCGTACAGACCAGGTAACAAAGGGTACCAGGCTGAAAGGAGAGACTGTCTGTGACAATCGTGCATATTGGAGAGAATTTTCCAAGAGCCATAAAAGAAGAAAATCTAGAAGATATGTTCTCAAAGCCATTTCTTGTCAAAGGAAGCCAAACTTGAAGCCTGAGGAATAAAAGCAGAAAGAGAGAGACAGATTGCTCTTTCTTTCCCATGGGTGCTGCCATTAGCACAAGGTCGGGGGTGCGGGCACTCTGCCTCCACCCCCACATCTCCCTCTTCCATCTCCATCACAACTGGTTTGGGTATATCCTGATTAATAGAAGTAGGCCAGCCAGCCCTGTGAGGGAGAGGAAATCCCCAATGTTGAGCAGCAGTCTGAGGTATAAAAAAATGACCAAGGGATACAAAGACTGCAGCCCCACCTCCCCAACACCAGATAGCTTTACTGGGATGAGGGAAGAAAAAAAAACTTACAGACTAATTGCAGACAAGCCTCTGGTCTCTGGGGGTTGACAATGAAGCAACCTCCATCTTCTTTGATGGATGTCATCATTCCACAGCCCTTTAGTAAATAAAGTATCAAGAATCTGCTCCAAAGTTCAGATCAGAGACAACTTCTGGGTTGGAAAAGGTCACCTGAGCGCACAGAGCTAAGAAGTCCCACCTACACGTGCACTGCACACGCACAGTCTTGTAGGAAAGTCATCCAACTCACCATTGGAAGTCAGGTCTTCCACCCCCATAGACCCCAATCTGCCAACACCCCATTCCTTCCTCTTTCACAAACTCCAGAGTCTACCTACAGAGAGTCCTCAGCAGTGGCAGTAGCTGGAAGGGAGTTTGGAAGGTAGGCAAAGGATGAAGCTGGCTAGGGTGTGAGGAAGCATGATTTCCAATGCTGGTCAAATGTCCTCACCCCATTCTCATCCTTGACTATTGCTTCTTCACGCTGCCTAAAAGGAAAATCAAAGATATGAATCTATTGTTGATCTGTCCCCCAGGCCTGGCCAGCCTTTGAAGAGAGACATACAAGAAGAGGGTGACATCTGACCCGAGGAGACGTGTGGGTGCTACAACACAATCCGGGGTGGATGAGGCATGAGATTAACTGGCACAGAGCACCCCTGAAAATTCTATGGATTCTCCAAGACATTATATTCCAGATAGGCTATTATTGTTACATTCAATATGTTATCACTATTATTATTTTTATCATGTAGCATTTATTCACCACTTACCAAGCCAGGCAATATTCTATGTTCTCTACAACCATTTTCTTCCATCCTTACAACTCTAAGGGGTAAGAACTACACTGACCCCATTTTTCATATTGAGACACTGAAATGGGAGTGGTTCAGTAGCTTGGCCAATCATCCATTATGTGATGGAGCCAAGACTCTCAAGAAAGTTGAACACTCTTCTAATTTCTTCCTGAAGTAATAGGCACAGCAGCCACACAGAAGAAAAGCACTGCGTCCCCCCCTTATAGAGACGCCTGCGGCCCTGGGCCCGCACACAGCAACCACCCCAATGTTCCCTGCGGCAGTGGCAGAGCCAGTAAGACAGACAGGGCTGGGGAAAGCTGGCTCAAGTTAGGTCTGAAGGCAAAAAATTCCCAAACTGGAATGATCCATCCAGGGGGGTTGCCAATTTGTGCTGGTGAAAGAGCCAAGCTCCAGGCCTTCCAGGACACCTGCTGTCCACCTGCCCCCACGTTGGACCCAGTGCTCCCAGACAGGACAAAAGAAGACTCCTGGCTGTACCAAGCCACTCCCAATGCAGGAGAGAAAAATAAAAACAAGTTTCTGGCAGGATAGGAGGGAGGGAAGGGAAGAAGGAGAAAGAAAAAGGCAGGGGAAGGAGGGGACCAAAAGGGGTCTCTATGTTTAGCCAATCATACAGAAAAGACATAGGAAATGTGTTCCAACAACTTTACCTGCAGCCTACAAAGCCCATTGGAATCAAATTGCCACCCTTTCTAGGAAGGGTGCCCATGTTCCCCAGTCAATGTCAAGCTCACCTGGGGAACTTTCCGGTAATGGAGTTTTTGGTTCTGACATGTCTCAGACAGTAGGAAGTTTGGGTTAAGCGACTCTATCCCAGCCTGGGAATAAAGCCTCAACGTGAACCTGGGACTGGCCGGTAGCCTACCCTATTAGAACATCACCCAGCCCTGGACAACCCAGGGTCACATTCTCTTCTGAGTCAACCTCAATTCTTCTAAAACATACAACAAATTCAGCAAACTCAGGGGTTCTCCTCCCAGGAAGTAAGAAAGGTAAAGTTTTAAAGCCCAGAGTGTGCTCTGGATCTTCCACAGCATATTCCCCATAAATTCTCAGTCTCCGTCCCACTGGTATTTCTTTACACACAAGAACTAGCAGTAAATGCCTAGAATTTGCTTTAATACTTGCTTTCTCTTTTCATAAAATCCATGCAAAACCCAAATCACAACTATTTAGCCCAAGAGCCCATAGCTGCTTAGCTCTCTGCTTATCCAGAGCAGCAGAGGCAAGACACAGCCAAGTTCACACGTGGCAAAAGCACAGGACAGAAAGTTCAAACTCCAGGGCCCTCGGAGCCGACCGTCACACCCGGCCACCAGGCAGAAGTGATTTAAAGAGCACGCTGTCCTCCTCACTGCCTGCTCACCTGTGTTCTGTGGATGAGAGGTCGGGGAAGATCCCCTGGGGTTCGAGGTGCAGCCAGGACAAAGGTGAACCCATGGTCCATATCCAAAATAGAAGAACAGGACCTGCAGCCAGCTCCTGCCCAGTTTTGACCAGATGGCACCTTTTTAGTGGGATCAGGGTACAAACCAGTGCCGGGCAGGGTTATTTCCCTAGGGGAAAATAACCCTTCCTAGGGCTCACCTGGTAAAAGGGGGCACAACCCACACTCCCAGACCCACCTGCGTCATCCAGGCCACGGTCGCTATTAACAGGAAAAGGAATTCAGGGAGATGTGAGAACAGGGCTACTGCGGGCCTCAGACAGGGAGCCCAGAAAACCACCAGGCAAGGGACGGGGCCACGCAGTACAACTCCCAGGTTTGAGGTGGGAGTTGGGAAGAGGAGCAGAGGGGAGAGAGAAAGGAGGAGAGGAGGGAAACAACTGTGGGTCTGGGGAGAAGGAACAGGAGAGAATTGAAGGAAACAGGAACAGAGCGAGAACGAACGTAGACAAGACGTGTCACATCTCCAAGCCAGACCGAGTGGAGACACATGCAAAGGCGCAGCATGAAGACAGCGTCTGAAGAGGAGCCGGACGCCTCCCAATGGCCCCAGCAGCTATGGCAACCGGCAACCAGGTGGCTCTCAGCAAGCAGGTGAGCAGCGTGGCTCCTGCCGCCCAGCACAGGGATGGTCTAACCTGAGGCTGCAAGGAGGATCTCATTCTCCTAGGCTGGGGATGCTGGCCAGGCCCCGGAGGAAACAAGGCTCCCTCCTCGCTGCCCTTGGTTTCTGGGTTTGCCACAGCAGTGAGAGGACAGCTCGGCAGTCTCGGCGCTGGCGCGAGGGGCAAGGGGGCTCGATGTGGGAGGAGGGTCACAGGTCCAGTGGGGGGAGGGGTGGGGACGGAGGGTGACAATAACAGTAATAAATGAGAAGAGGTCCAGGTCCTTATCAGGACTGGAATGACAGTGGTCCTGGGACATCACACCTCTGGGGGCCACAGAGGGGTCATAATTGGGGAACAAGGAGGGAGAGCAGGGGACAGGGGGGGCGGTCCAGTCACTGTCACTTTGGAGAGTCCAGCCAGCGAGATGCAGGAGCAGGTGGGCTCAAAACTATTTTCTACGCCCTCCATGCTCTCTCCAGTGCTAACAGCCACAATGCACCTGGTCGGCCTCGTACACAATCTCAGGCTTTCTCGGCTGCTGACAGTTTTATAGCTGCAGATCATAAAGTAACAGCAAGGCCGTCCTCCCTATGGGAGGCAGTACTTGTGACTGAAGGAGATTTGGAGTTTCAAGTTAGGATCACCGGCCTAGCTAACAGCTCCCCTGGGGCCTCCAGGGAGGCTCTGTTCCCAGCCAAGTGCCCCGCGCCTGCAGCTGCACAAGTTAGGGTGTCCATGGCAAAAAGCAGCGTCTTCTTGGTCACCCTCAGAGACAGAAAGCCTCAGGGAGCTCTAAAAGCCTCCTGAAAAGAATTGACACCCTATAAAATGCCCATTCCCGAGACCTCCACTGGAAGGCTAGAGCAGGCATCGAGGAGGGCAGGCGGGGCCTCAAGTTTGGGTTTTTGTGCCTCTCACCAGCAAGACTTTCTTCTGCTTAGGAAGTCTGTTCTCTCCACTCCCCCAACACCCACCCAGTGCCTCCCAAGACCCTTTCCCTAAACTGTGACCCAAGGGCCTGGCCTGCCCCTGTCCTAGCAGGACTGCAGGAGACATATCCTGAGGACCTGGCTACTGTGGGAAGGTGCTGGGCCCCACCCCACCCCCATGCTCCTTGAGAGGGCTGAATGTTGGTAAGATCCCAAGAAGACAGTGAGGGACCAGCAACCCCAGGGGAAGAGCTGGGGGATGGGAAGTGGGGATGGGAGAGGGTTAGGGAGGAAGCAGAGCACTCTGCCTGAGGCTACTGGGAAAACTAGGCAGAAGACGTGGGGGAGCGGTGCAGGTGTTTCTGGTCACCATCGTGGCCCCAGACAGATCTCCAAGGGTGCAGAGATGCAAAGCCGATCTCAGGCATTCTAGGTCCCTCAGGGTGCATGCAGAGTCCCAGGGGCCTCTGTGGGAAGCTCTAGGTGTGTCAGCAGCAGGATGGCGAGGTGTCTGAGTGAGGAAAACTGCAAGGAGGCTCCAGGGGGAGGGCTTGACATGGGGGTGGAGGGTCAGAAGCTGCAGCTAGGCAGTGCCCGAGCGTGGCCTGGTGGGGCTGTTGGAGCAGCATGATGTGGGGAACCCAGAAGCCATGGGGAATTGAGGAGCGGAGGCTGCTGCCCCCACAAAGGGGGTGAGGGGACATGGTTTGGATTCCCCTGTCAAGGAAGCGATGGCCCTGCCAAAGCCCCATCCGCCTGTCCACCCCCCCGCCCCACCCCAGCCGTGGAGCTCCCTTACCTATTGAGCTGAGGAGAGGCTTGTCTCGACAACACTGCCCAGATAGCTGAGATCAATCAGAAACAAAGCAGTTATCAACACGGGCCATGGGGGGACCACCCACGCACACCCAGAGGGGAGGAGGGGGGGAGCACAGGGACCAGAGAACCGACAAGCGAGGCCAGAGAATGGGGTGAGGGGAAGGAGAGGAGAGAGACAGAAAATCAGACGGCACGATGGGACGAAGCAGATGAGAGCGCGGTACAAGCACAGACGACAGGGCTGCGCGCACAGCATCTCCTGCACAGACACAGGTGCCCGAGGCTCGGCGCCTGCCTGGGCGCCCACCTGGCTCTCCGCTGGGGCTGGAGCTTGCTGGAGCTCTCCTGTTCCCTGGGCCCACTCCCCTCTCCCCCCCACCAGGAGCAGGGTGGGGGTGGGAGGTGAGGCTTGCACTTCCAGGTACCAGAGAGGGTGGGAGTGAGTGGGGCAGGGGAAGGGCACTGGGCTCCCTCCTCCTCAACCGCCTCCCATCCTGCCTACCACCAGGCCGGCCTCCTCTGGAACTCTCTGCTCCCTGCACAGGCGGCCACATCAAGAAGAGACCGAAGGACTGAACCAGAAAGACAGGGGGAAGGCTGAGGAGCACTACAGAGACATTGCAGGCTCTTCTGGCAACCCAAAGAAGACGGAGAAGGAAGAAAGACAGACAGAGAAAGACGGACTTGAGGAGGAAGGAAGGGCAGGAGGAGGAGAAAGGAGGAAGGAAAGGGAAGAAAGACAAGAAAAAAAGAGGCGCAGACAGGTGTCCAGGCCGACTCTGGGACTCTGGTACCTGGAATACCAGCTGCTACAGTTTAGAGTGTGCTCTCTCAGGCAGGCTGATCGCAGGAGTGTGTCTGTCTGTCTGTCTGTCTGCAGCTCCCTGCGAGGCACACAGGTTGGGGTGGGGTATGTGGCTCCAGACACAAGGTTCACAGGCCTGAGATTTTGTTCCAGCTCCAGGATGCCCTGGTGGAGAGGCCGTGGGAGGGGCTGGTGCCCACTGGGCAGCTAAGGGCAGCAATGGGGAACAGGAGCCCCTGGCCTGGGAAGTCAGGGAAGTCCAGGGAAGTCAGGCTTCCGGGTCCTGCTTAGCGAGGAGGAGGGGCCGGGGAAGGCAAGGAAGGCTGGACACGAGGTCTCTGTGCAAACCACCCCCATGCCAGGACCACAGGGACGTGAAGAACTATCACTCCAAGAGGAAGTGGTGGACCACTCATTCGGGTGCACCACACTCCCCTTGTCCAAGTGTGCCCGCGCCCCATCACCCCAAGGCCTCTGAGAGCTCTGGCCTGGGTGGAGAAGAGCCCTCCAGCTCCTGGCAGGATACCTGGGCAGGTAAGCCCCACCCCCACCCCAGAGACTACATCCCACCAATGTGGAGACCAGAATCCCGTCCCCCCTCCAAAGGGATGCTGCAGCATGTCCAGACAAGCCCTGTCATTCGGGTTGATGGAGGGAGTGGAGGGCAGGGTAAGAGATGGGGAGAGGGAGATGACCAGGTGGAGGTGGGCAGGAGAAACCAGCACACACTCACCCTGAAGTAGGTAATGGTGGTGGGGGGGCCTCTGGTCTGAGCAGCTCCTCCCCCATCCTTCGAGGGGAAGGCGCCTGTCCAAACACATCCAAGTTGTCCCCAGGTCCTGTGGGACCAGGCGGAGGGGAGGGGTAGCCTGTGGCCAGAGTAGTGAAGCCCATGGTGGGCCGGAAGCTGGGGCTCCCGCTGCGGCTGCTCTGGGAGGGAGAGCCGGTGGACGAGGGCGTAGACTTTCGAGAGAAGCTGACAGCGGCCGGCGGCTGGAGAGTGATCTCAGACATCTCCGCCTGCTGCAAGAGCCCCGGGCGGGGCCGGGCCCGGGCGGCCAGCTCAGGGGAGCCAGTACGGGAGCTGAGGGGACTTTGGGTCAGAGGCGAGAGCCGGGAGGGCTGTAGCACCACTTGATGTAAACTGGGCTCGGTGCGCCTGGCCTGCCGGGGGCTGGGCCGGGGCCGGGGCTGGGGCTCATACCACCGAGTGTCCAGGCCAAATGTGCTGGGGCCACCGTGCCCCCCGGGCTCAGCCGGCTCGGGGTAAGGCAACACGGGTATGCCCATACCTTGGCTGGTATGTCTTAGCTGCCCTTGGCTCACCAGAGGTTGCATAGGTCTATCCTGCCACTTGGTGGCGGCGGGCACTGGGACGGGGCCTCTGCCTGGCGACTTGCCTGCCCAACCCTTTGGTGCCTCCAGAGACAGGATGCCTGGGTAGGCCGAGGGTACCTGGAGGGAGGAGGGGGGCAGTCCTCGGGGGAGGCAGGCCTTGGACTGCAGACTCTCGGTCACGTCACAGGGGTGCAGCTGGTGGGGGAACATCATGGCTGGGGTTTCCAGTCCCCCAAAGGGGAACTCTGGCCGGCCCCAGGGCTCAGGGGAGCGCCCTCCTGTGGGTGTCTGAGTCAAGGGCAGCGTGCTGTTCGAACAATTCTCTCCGTTTTCCTCGGGGATGGTGGGGTGGCCAAAAGGCCCCTCGGTGTGCAGGGGTGGGGAGGACATGACAGAGCTCAAGGGGCTGCCCACTTCCGGCATGTAGAAGGGTGGAGGCTCCACCTCCCCAGGGCTGCTGCTGCTCAGGTACCCATAATACTGGCCATGGTGGAAGGGCCGGGGGGCGGGGGGCCTGGCCTGGCCCGTAGCCTGGAGTCGACCTTCCAGGCCGCTGGGTCCCTCCAGCCCACGGGGCTGGAACCGAGGGCTGTATGCTGGTGGTGGCAGGTAGGACTCCTGGCTGGATGACAGAGGGGTCAGCTGGGACTTCAGGGCAGCCACAGATGTGGGCACTAGCGGGTCATCATTCTCCTCATCTGACTGGCGGAACTCGGGGTACATGTCCGTCTCCTCTGCAAAGGGAAAGCCCTCGATGCGCCTGCTCTTCATGGAGGGCTCCATCTCGGAGGGCTCCATCACAAAGCGGCCATCGGGACCTCTGCTGATCAGCTCGATGGGTGTAGTTGCCTCGGCCTCTGCCTCCGCCTTAGCCACGCTGTACTTCTTGCTGCTGATTGCCCTTTTGGTTTTCTTGTATAACGACAGCTCCTTCTCCCGGGTGGGGCTGAGCATCCTTTTGGCTGCTGGCTGACCTTGGTCATCGGAAGACTCTGATGGCGCCCGGAGTGTCCGGATGCTCTCGGGGCTCACCTTGCCAGAGGACAAGCTGTGGGGACAGTGGAGAGCAGGACAAGAGAGGCACACACCGTCCATTACTGCTTCTCTCCTCTTAACAAATCACAAACACAGGGGGAGATGAAATGCACATTTTGGTGCAAAACACTCCTGCCCACTAGATATAGTCTAGATGCAAGTGGCCTGTTTGCATTCACATTTCTACTTTGATTCTGCCTGTTCCTGCTGCTGACCAGACTCTGCCTATTCACACCTCTAATTTCATCCCCAGGTTGCTTAGGCAATGCAAGTTCATTTCATATTCACTCAGACAAAACATACGAAGGCAAATCTACTGGGATGAAAAAAATATGATGGAAACATTTTCCAAAGGTAAGGAGAAACAAATGATCTGCTGTTTTGTATGGTCTACACTACTAATCCCACTACTGGTGTAGACCAGTTAAAATTGACACGTAGCTCAATCAATAGTGATCGCTCAGAAACACTGCTGTGTGCTGAGCCTGGTGGGCCATCCACTATCCTCTCCCTCCCACCCACACCACACACAGAAGCATCTCATGGTTCTCCAGGGACACTTACGGAGACTCTAGACTCTTCCTGCAGTGAGTGATGGAGAGTGGGGGGTCTGGAAGGAAAAAGAGCAGGTTGTCTAGGGATGCTTAAGAACATATCAATCACCCCAGGTGTCACCAGGCCTGCAGCAAAGCCACAGAGGGAAGCACTCCTTCCTCTGTTGGTACCTTTGCATCCAGTTCAGAGGCCTGACTGCAGGTTCCTCCCACCCACTGCCCACCTGCTCTGTCTGCATCAAGGCGCTGGTTCCATCAGTCTCTCCCCACCATCCATGCTGCCTTTTCCCTGCTTTCAAATCCAGTCCCACTGCAGCTTTACCCACAAGATCATAATTTCCCTATTTTCAGGGGACCATGCTAAAAAGGAACGGTCACCTCTGATGAGGAATTGGGCCAGGTAGAGCAGGGGAGTGGTCAGGGACAGATACCCACCTTTTTTGCGCTTGAGCTTACGCTTGCGCTGCTTGTTGACGAAGCAGGCGGCCAGGGTGCTGAATAGGATGGCAGCCGCTAAGAAGCAGATGGTAGCTACGATTCCAGCCAACACAGGCCGCGCGAGCCCGTCGTCGGTCAGGTCTGGCTGTGGGAAGATGTCTGCGGGGAGGGCCGGGGACAAACAGGCCTGAGTTCCTCCCACCCTCCCAGACCCCCACCTACTCTGATACTAGTCCCCAGTATTTTCCCTGACCTCTGTAGAACAGACATTAAGGCTCAAGCTCCATGGCCCCCTGTCATACTGATGAGGTTTGTGTGGCAGGGGAAGGGGAGAGTGTGCAAAAGTCAAGGTCCTGCCACAGAGCTCGGGTATCTCAGTCCCAATAAGTGATATGGCACCGATCATGTCTACTGGCTCTGTGCATTTTGCACAGTGCTTTGATGCACGGCATCACACATCATCCCCATGAGGTCCACAAATCACATGTCTGCTCCCACTCCCTAAATGGTGACACTGACTGAGGGGAGCATGTGTCGACTGGTACTCCAGGCCATGCCTGCATGGTGATGCCACCATCCAGTGGGGCCCTTTCTGCCTCATTGGGAAGGCACCTTGAGGGGAAAAAGTCATAGCAGGGGGGAGGGTCTATTCCTCTAGAACTCTGTCTGTCCACTTCTAACTTGTTACAGTGGAGGCCAGTAATCTCCACCAGGAAGATCAGGTTCAGATCTCCAGGGCTGGCAGGGACGTTAAGTGGAGCCTAATGTCCTCTTTTGTAAGCATAGAAGAGACTCTCATTTTGTACCCAGATTCACAGAGTTCCTAAGTAACAGAACCTGAGTAGACCCTGGCCTATTATACCTCATAAGACAGTTATATTAGTGAGTTCCTTCTAGGTTCATCAAAAGGGGAATCCATATAGTCTGTACATTTCTGGCCAGAAATAATTGCTATGTCAATAATAACACTGGATAAAAATAATCCAAGTCATGCTGACTGACTGAATGGAAAAATGAAGGCTGCAGCCATTGGAGAGGGAGGCCTTCAATCCAGGGGATGCTGAGGTCACTGCAGCCTTATTTATCCAGGAGGAACCTTCCGATCACGTAGGTTTCCTCCTGGGAGTCAGGCATAAAAACCGCTGAATACAGAACAGTTCACTGAGATGAGCCTGCAAAACCCTCAAGTCCTCTATGCTGGCCTTGGCTGCAAACTATATTCTCTGTTTCTCCACCTCGCTGAGTCTCTTCCCTGGAGGGAAGCCAAGACAGAAGCATGCTGGGTTCTGCTGCCTATACTTTTTTCTGTGTAAAAAGTATACATATATGTCAGAAGTCATACTTCACTCCACCCCCCACCACCTCCTGCAGGTTCTCCCCACCTGTCCACGCATCTGCCCATTCCACCCCTACCCTGTGCTTCTGTAACTATAAGCCCTGCCCATGAACTTCTTAGCCAGTTCCTTGCCAACTGGTCCTAAGGGTTTTTGTGAGAGCAGGACCCCAGGACACTGCTACTACTTCATCACTAAGTATCAGAGGAACAACTTCCCTGGGGGGGAAGGGACCCTGCTAAGTTTCAGGAACTGTAGCTGGAGAAAGATGTAGAGAATTGGGACCAGGGCCAAGAAAAAGAAAAATAAATGGAGAAAATGCTAGGGAGTTGGCTTTATTTAGCCTGGAAAAAAAAAAAAAATCAAGGGAGAGGAAAGAGTGGAGGGAAACAACACCAAACAGCAATTTTCCAAATAAAACCGCCATAATTATAAAGCAGTCTTATAATGGGCATTCAATAAATACTTGTTGACCTGTTGTCTCTTTGCTCCATCCCAGCCCACCCCAGCACAGAGGATAGCACTGGAGGAAACAGAAAATAGATAGCAAAAGAACTTCAACCATGTGGATTTGATACTATCATGAGAAGACTGGCTGGATTCCTCTCCGTGGTTCTTACAGACACAGTCCTGAATGTGGGTCTTTAGTCGAACACACCCTGCCATCATTGGAGCAGAAGCACCAATCTGAGGGGCTTTGGCAGTGCTTTACCACACATTGTTCCAGCTAGAGCTCTCCTCTGTTCCCAGCCCAGCCTCTTTTCTCATATTAGCCATTTCACAAAGGGACTCCCATGTTAGAGAACCCCCACACCCCAAAGTACCTGTGCTGGAGACACCCGCGATGTTGCTGGGCTCGCTGATCAGATCCTGCATGACGGCCAGAACCCGGAACTCGTACCAGGTGTCCTACAGCCCCAGGGGTAATACCCTGTCAGCCGAGGGGCTGAGACCACCACAGGCCCCACCGCCACTGACCCTGCAGTGATCTCTCATGGGAGAGGGCACCCAGGGCAGCAGAAGCATCTAACAACATGCTCTCTGCGGTTAAAAAAAAGTCCTCACTGTATCATCTGCCAGTTTCCATGCTGCAAACACCCTCAGCATGACTGATTTCAAACTATAAAAGGCTGCTGAAAGCAAAGCTGGGAAGAGATGCACAGGTAGGTAGTGGAAACCCCCTGAGCCAATGCTAGCATGAATTAACTGTCCAGGAAAGGGAGACTGAAAGACAGATGCGATTGTCTGTCTACATCTCTCCCACCAGGAAGAGACCAGAGTTTAAGGGGGATCAGCTGGGGTGGTCAGGCAATGTGGACTCTTCATTTGTTAATAGATCCTTCCCAGGCAAAGAAGGTAGTCCTTCCGGGAAATTTTTTCCGTCCATCCCGCCCCCAGGTTTAACTCCTAGCAAGGAACTGAGGTCAGTGCCTGCTTATGTGTGCTGGCCCTGCCCTGGTTTGTGTCAACACTGGAACTCCCTGACTCGGTGGGGCTCCGTGGCAACAATCTGAGGATTCTAAACCTTGGAGGCCATTCTGGGAGAATACAGGAGCAGTGGTAGGCCAGGACTCCACCGGATCTCATACATCTGAGTTGGGTCACTCAAAACTTCTAGAAAGAGCCATGTCACTTGAAGATTTGGGACAAAAAAGTCAGGGAAAATCCAGGCCCTCACCTGTGACAGATCCTTAGCAAAGAATTCTCCATCAGTGCCTGGAATGGCATCATCTAAAGTCTCCCAACGCTCTGCCACGCGAAACTCCATGACGTAGCGATCGATGGGAAAGCTGTGGTTGGCAGGGGGGAGCCAAGACAGGAGCACACCCTGCTGGGTCCGATTGGCTGTGAGGCACCTCGGTGGGGTAACCAGCACCAGGGGTTCTGGAGTTGTGATAGGGAATGCTGTGCAGGGGAGGAAAGAGAAGGAAAGTAGCTCGGTGGGGAGGAGAGGCTGCTGTGGCCTCATCCACCCACATGCCACCTGCTGGCTAAACACCTGTCCCTGGGGACACCCTGGCCCAAGGTGGCAGTCCCATTCCCATGGCCTAGAGCAGGCATCATTTCAGGGGCCAGGGGCAGCAGGCAGAGCCCTCCTGACCAAGGGAAGTAGCAGGGCGAGAGGGCACAAGTCTCACAACTCTGTTTTGAGAGTACTTATAAAAAAAAAGTATAGGGGATGGAGTACTTCAAAAGGAAAAAGGAAAGAGAGAACTACAGGAAGAACACAAAATTAAATGTCATTATCTTTTTAATAAGAGGGGTTCTCTGTAAAGACACCACAAAACATAGCTTTCATTCTCTTCCAAGGAAGGAGGATGATCTTCCAAAGCACACACTTGCTCTTGCAAGTCCCCCATCGGCCCAAATAGAAAAAAAATAAGGCCCAGCAAGGGGCACTGCAGACTGGGGAGCCCTCCATCACTGCTCTCAGACCCTTGTGGTAGTAACGGATCCTGGCAAGGAAGGCGGTTGGTGCTGCCATTCCAGATGCCCACTCTGGCAGCAGAGAGGAAGGTAGACAACTGCCACTAAATGGGGCTGAGGCCCAAAGGCAAGAACCAGCAGTTGGTACAAAAAAAGGAAGAAGGGCCCCAAACCCCCCTGTGAAGCCACAGGAAGATGCAAACATGTGGCCTATGGCAGAAGGGTAAAATTCAAAGTTTCTTCCCCAACAGCAATCTGGCTCATGGGATGTAGGATGAGGTACTTTGGTCCAGGCCACCCCTAGAAAGTGACAGGGCAAATCCTCATTGGAGATCAAATGGCACGATCACATGAAGAGCTTAGCAAGGTGCCTGGCATAAAAATGTCAGCTGCCAGGAACACCACTGCCACCCATGCCTTAGCCTATTCCCATTGCACTAAGAAACAACATCAAGACATCTGCCCAGGCCCTCACCTAAAGTGTTCACAGTGACCACCTCACTGAAGGCGCTGGTTCCCAGCTTATTCTGGGCCAGGACGCTGAACTGGTATGCTGTCTCGGGCTCCAGGGTGTCCACCAGCAACCAGGTGGGTCCTGGTGGCACTGGCAAAGACAGCCAGTCGTGGGGCCCGAACTGTGCCCGCTTCATCCTGGCCAAAAGAAAGAGAGAAGATCGGGGGACAAAGGGGTGGGGTGGGTTACACTGGAGAGATGAGAATCCATGCAAGGTCCTTAGGGAGGTGGCAGTGGGCAGACCTGCCTTTCCAGGTTCGAGGACAGGAAGAGGTGATGACCAAGGTGGAATGACCTTCCCAATTTTGACTGTGCCAATCCTTACCGTGCTGGGTCCTCAGCCAATGCTGGTATCTCCTCTATGACAAGGGGCCCTTAGGGAGAATTGATGCTCAATATACTAGACAAATTACCAGTTACATTATGGGAGAATCTTACCCAGGGCACAACCCTAAGAGCGGCTCTGCCTTGGGAAAACAAGGACGCTGGGTCAAGGCAGGTACCATAGCAGCAAAGTGGGCATCTTGGCAATGGCTTAGACTAGGGAAGGAGCCCAAGTGTCCTCAGCTGCCCACCCTCCAGGGACAGCCAAAAATGGGACCTAGAGCAAGCCAGCACACTCATTCAGGCCGACCAGGTCTGAGTCACCTGGAGAAGTCTCCCCGTACTGGGGACTGGGATCCCTAAGCCTTATGGGTTAGAAATCACAATCAAGGTGAAGGTCATACCATGTATGGTGAATACTGGAAATAGGGGTGAGGGTTTCCCTGGCTCCGTGTGGCCCACCTAATTCCCCTGAGCAGCAAGGCGCCATCTACAGGTGCAGTGCCCAGCATCACCACAGGGAGGAGACATGATCCCGTGGGACTGACACCCTGGGAAGGCCTCTCCTTAAAGCCCTGAGCTTCAGTGGATGCCCACCAGGTTCCTGTCTAAGTTGAAAGGCTCACTACTGTGTATGCCCAAGAGGTTGAGCTGAGAGAGCAGAAAGCACAGCAAAACGAAGCTAGCACCAAACATCTGAATCGGTGCATGGAGCATCGGAGGCAGTCAGGAACGCAGAGGTAAGGAGACCTCCCAACCTCTGCAACCGCCCTTTCCCACCCTGGGGACCAAAGCAAGTGAGCGAAGAGTGAGAAAGCGATGCAGATGAGCAGCAGCGTGGAGCACAGCCACAAGCAGCAAGGGAGACCCCCATCTGTATGCAGACCTTCTACTCGGGCACCCCCACCACCGTCTCAGCCATGCCATGTGCTCTTCCCTAGCCACAGAGTCACCCAGTCATCTTGTAGGGGTCACCCCGCCCCCACCCTGCCTCAGAAGGAAGAGATTGGGTGGGTAGGTAGATGTAGGGGGAGAGGGGATCCTGCTTGCAGTTCAGGGGGTTCCCCAAGCTAGATCTAGTTTGCCAATCCAGAATTCAAAACACCTACAATACACAGTTCAAGGAAATATCAAAACCACCGTGGCAGGAATGAGCTTTCCCTGCTGGCAAGAGGAGTGTCAGGGGCTCTCCCTGGCTCTCCATGAGGCCCCACAGGAGTACTATGCTTCCTCTTCCCCAGGCCCTGGGGAATACGCACCCACTGAGACAGGGCTGCAAAGGAGGAAGTGAGATGGTCCATCCTCCCCACTCAAGGATGCCACCCATGATGCGGGCAGTCAGCTCTGGGCTCAGGATAGGAAAGTGAGGAGGGAGGACCCCAAAAGGCATGGAAAGGAGGTCAGCTGTGGCTTGTCTTTCTGCCTTTTCTGTATTTCTTGTCCTCGGTATACTGTTGAGATCCCAAGGTTTGGGCAAAGATCTCAAATCACCAATTTGGTTTATTAATAACAAAGCTTTAAAATCAGTAAAGACACAGAGTCCCAGAGAGAACATGTTAGGTAGATGTCAGGGACAGGGCACCACTTCACTCTGGTTTCTAGAACCACTGGGGAAGAGGCAGAATAAAAATCAGATTCTATGCCAGGCTGGGATATTTCAACGCCCTGGAAGATTAAACATCTCTTCCAGACTCCAGAGGACAGAGGAACGCTGAAGAATGAAATAAGGGGCAGTGAGCTGAGCTGGAGAGAGGCCTGCAGAGGCATAGTCAAGTTAGCAACCACCAAACAGGATCCTAAACCTTCCCTAGCCAGGAACACAGGACTCCAGAGCCCCTTGCAGACACATCCAGCCCCCACAAGAACCTACTGTTGTGTCAACACACCTCGCCATCTGGAAGTGTGCCAGGAGGAGAACCGTGTCCTCACAATCTCCACCCACCCCGGGGCACTGACTGGAGTGGGGGTAGGGGGAGAAGCAGAGAGCAAAGCATGCGGGGGTGACTCACAGAGGTCCGTACCAAACTGAGAATGTCTGCTCGTATCCTCCATCATAGCCTGGCTCCCAGGACACGTTGGCAGTTGTCATGGAGACCTGGACCCGGACACTGGCCGGGGCATGGGGGCTGGTGCCTGGAGACCAAGTGGAGACCTCTCAGACCGAAAAGAACTGAGTCCAAAAAGCTGGGCACCCTTATCTCGCTTCATAATCACAAAACGCGATCCCCCAAGTGGAGTGATCAGGGATGAGGGTGTCCTCTGGGGAGTTGATGCCCCATCCCTAATAGGTAGCAGTGCTGGAGAAGGAAACCTGCCCCACAGTGCAGTCTAGTCACCTAGTGAGACAAGGCGTGAGCCTCAGGAATATGGCCCAAAGGGAAACTAGAACCTCATCATCCAGGCCAAAGCGCACATGGGGAGCACAGAAATACTCCCCCTTAAAATCACAGGCAAAGCCAGAGTCCCTCTCTGGCCTCGAGAGACAGCCATATTCCACCCCAATGCCAACGTGGGAGACGGCGCAGCACAGCAGATAGCAACTTCAGCTTGGGTTTGAGTGATGTCACGCTGGCCGGGTCCCCCCAACCCCCACTCAGTGACCGGTACCCTTAGGAAATACCAGCTGCTACTCAGAAGCATAAATGATGAGGTGCCACTGGTGGTAAATGCTCAAATATTGTAGCGCTTGTGTCCCCAGAAGCAGAGGTCGGGAGGACATACACTCAGGCAGAAGAAGTGGGGGCAGAAGGTGGGCACCAGACATGACCCTTAGACCTTGGCGAGGGAACCCTCATCCCCGACTCTGGCCCTTCCAGCTTCCCACCAGCCCTCGACAGCTCTGAGCGGTGGTGCTGGCCACGCTGGGGCATCGGCTCTGTGTCAGGGCAGCAGCAAGTACATCTACCTGTCCCTGTCAGAGGAAGGTTTCCCAGGACGGGCTCCGTGTCACCTTCCCTGACGCAGAGTCCACAGAGGGCTGAGCTGCATGTGGCGGGCTTCTGGTTTGGGGGTGGACTAACTCCAGAAAGATGCCCACAGAGAGCGTGGGTCCCTAGTCCCAGATCACAGCCCGCCAGCCCGCGCCCCGTACCGATGACGGTCAGGTGGGTACTGGCAGTGACGCTGGTGACCACGTTGGTGGCGATGCACTCCCACTCCCCGTGGTCCTCCTTACTCAGGGCTCGAAACTGGAGGCTCCCGCTGGGCAGGGCGTTGTGCTTGCTTCTGCTGGGCTTCCCTACCTTGGCCAAACAAGGGGGCAAGGAAAAGGGCAGGAGCAGGGCGGCAGGGGAGGACCAGGGCAGACAGGGAGGAAGAGAAGCCACCAACACCTCAGGCATCTGAGAAGAGGGGGGAGGGGGCAGTTCCAGAGTGCTCAGCCTGCACCCCTCCTGCCCCGCCTCCGGGATGCCCATCATTCTGGGGGTCACCCTCAGCACTTAGCACATGGCCCAGTCAGAACAGAGCCAGTTCCTGGGTTTTTGCCCGCCACCATAGTCCCCAACAGCTCCAGAACCCAGAGGTACCTTTCTCCATGTGATGACAGGAAAGGGGTCCCCTGCGGCAGCGCAGGGGATGAGCAGCTCTCGGCCGGCCTCCTGTCTGTACTCCCAGCCTGGTAGCACCGTAAAGTAAGGGGGATCCTAGGGAGAGCAGAGCAAGGCTCTGATTTCAGACTTTCCGTGCACCCACCCACACTGAGGCCACTGGTGGCCCAGGCCTCACCTTCAGGACAAGCCTCGCAGGAGCAGACTGGCCCATGGTCCCCAGAGTGTTGTAAGGCACACAGGTGTAAGTGCCAAGAGCCTCCTCTGTGGCCTCCTCAATGCGAATGGAGCCATCTTCCATTAAGGTCCAACCCAGGTTCTGCTGAAGCACAGAGGACTGAGTGGGGAGCAAAGGTAAGGGTGTGGACATGGGGACAGGGCTGGATCGCGCTGGCCAGCTGGGCAGGTAAGGGCAGACATGGGTTAGTCTCGGGGGTGATGCCAAGCACTGGGAGAACAGGACTGCAGACCCACAGAGGAAGTCACACTGTTTTCCCAGAAATAGGAGGGAGAACAAAAGGAGTCTCAGCAGGAATCAGGAGAGCCAGAGACTCTGAGTCAGGAGGGCCCAGCATGCATCTCTCTAGCACCTTCTCGACCTGAAGCGGGCGGCCATCCTTGTTCCATTTGACCACGGTAGCCGGTGGCTCTGCATCCACAGGGCAGCGGATATAACCATGAATCCCCACAGGCACATAGATTACCGGGGGCATGTTGAGCACACGGGCTGGGTCTGCAGAGGGATAGTGTGGAGGAGAAGAGAGACACAAGAGATATCAAAAAGTGAGAAACCTGGGCAGGCGGCCAAGCCACCACCAAACCCCTGGGGTCCCTCCCAGACACTTGGGCTCCCAGGCACCATCTTTCACACCTACTCGCCCATTCAGTGAACATGTCCTACATGTGTCCTCAGCACCCCACATAGAGCTAGGGTGCCAGACCATTTGTCAGTAATAAGAACCACAGACTCTAAGACTGACAAGCCCCCAGTTCGAGAGCTTATAACCCAGAGGCCACATCTGTGGCAGGCTGCAGGCTTCTTCTGTCTGTCCTGACTAACGTGTTCTTAGGAACTTCTTTTTTTTTTTATTTATTTATATTTTACATCATTGTTCATTTTTAAACCAAATTTGCTTTTCCGCCCTCAGGTGTAGTCCCCATAGAATTTCCTCCACCAATTCACCAGTGCACCATCACCACAATCCCCTGTGCTCCTCCCTCCCTCCCTTCTGTTTTGGATGCTTGGAGGTCCTCAATGGCATATTCTAGTCTGCCCCAATCTGCGGTAGCCCTCAAAGGCTTCTAACTCATGGATTTCAACACCAGGCAAAGATCCTCATGGTCCTGCCAGTGGTTTCATGCCTGTTACTCCCAGTCTGGTAAAATATGTAAAGTATAGGAGTCCTAGGGAGACCAGAGCCCCCACCTCCAAACCTGGAAGCCAAAGAGCAACCACCTCCTCCCCTAGCCACTCCTGATTCCATCTCTCCTGGACACCAAGCAGCCCCCTCTTACACCTAAGCCAGTTTCACACATAAGGTGATGAGGACACAGCCATGGGGAGTTCTTTTCTCGCCTTTTGTTGTGCTAGCAGTCCAGCTGCCCAGTCCTCAGTTTCCCATCTGTGCTGCTGGAACACAGGCTCAGCCCTGGCCTCCGAAAGATGCTCTCAGGAGAACAACTCTGCGTGGGTGAGTCATCACCTCTTGATTCTCCCCAGTTTCCCCTGAGGGCCACTGAGGAGAAAGATCCAGAACTTCCAGGGAGGCTGTAAGGATGAATGAGCTGCTATCTTTTAAGCATTTGGAGCTCTTCAGAGAACAGCATTACATAAATACCAGGCCGAGTTATATATTTAGACATAGCTTCCTACTTTTGTATGGTGGAGTTTTTTTTTCCCTCCAAGGTTTTCAAAGGGTTTATGAATGGGAAATACTCTGAACACTTCTTTTTAGCAGAAATAAAGATCCTTGTCTCACCCACCTGAAAACCTCACCCCCTGGATTCTCTTTGAAGACAGGAAGGAGATTTAAAAAAAAAAAAAAAAAGGACAAGAGAGATGGGGAAACCACCCACCCCTCCCAGCAAAAAGGTGGCCCATGGCTTCAAAGATGGGGGGCCGCATCCTGACTTGATTCACCAGGCTTCTGAAGCCACCCTGTGGGCTCTCTCCTTCCACACTGCCACCTACTTGCTCAGGTGACACAAGTCAGATGAGCTACTGCTCCAGGTGGAGTGATCCTTCTGCACTGCTTTTCACCTGCAAATATGCACATACACACGCACATGCTCACGCGCGCACACACACACACAGCCAGCTACAGGGGTCCCATGGAAACTGCCCCCACACTCGCTCTTTCTTTCTGCCAGTCTGGGCCAGATTGACCTGATATCTGGGGTCACACCGTTTTCATGGACCCCACAGAAATCATAGGAAACTGAAAGTCCATTTAAGTTGTGGACAGCAGAAGTGGGGCGACGGTCCCTATGCCCCACCAGCAAAATCATCCCATAGAGATGAGCAAACAGTGAGCAAGTAGGGTTAGGAGTTGAACGGGGCTCCAGGCCCAGCCTGGCTCCACGCTGCACCTATCACCAGTGGCTGAAAATATCCAGCTCTGTGGGCAGAGAGGAGATAAGCCCTGCCTCCAGGGTCACCCCTTGTCCTTCCACTTGTCCTCAGTTCAAATGCCAACTCCTCACCATGTCTCCATTCCTCACCCTGCCTCTCCATCCCTGAGGAGGGAGTGGTTTTCCACACCAGCCCGGGATGATGGACAGCCTGTCACCTAAGGCAACCAAGTGGGGCCTTTGTTGCCTGAGTGACGGGGCCATCCACAAATCAAAAGGAAGAAATTAATCCTCATTACTCATCTGTCTCTCTCTCTCTCACAATGCTCAGCCTGCCAGGGGGTTGGGAGAGCAATGACTACGCTGAAGTATTCAAAATTAGCAAACTGAATTATTGTGCTCACACAAAAGCCTTCGATTGTTCTGGCATGAGGAGCGGCTCATTCATCTGGGTCTCTGGCAGCCCTAGAGATGAGCAAAGAGGAAGCTGAGAGAGAGCCAGGTGCTGGCAGAGCTGGATCTAGTCACCCAGAAGAGGGCTGTAACCCCCTGTCCACAGTGGGGTAAATGAAGCACTGACAGGAAAGCTGATCTTACGCCTGTTTAAGCTCACTCCCTCACAGACAGAACAAGGCACCAGAGAACATCTCAGTTAGGGTACAGGCAGAGGTGCGCCGAGCCTTCAGAGAAAGGACAATTGTTCAGAAAGGCTGCCTGTCCTTGAAGCCAACCTAGACCGGCTGATGGATGGATTACCTAACACACCCTGTGGTGCTGGCCCGAGGAGAGGCCCAGCCAGCATTGGTCAAGCTCCCCGAACAAGCTCAGATCCCATCTCCTCCCTCAGTCATTCCTCTGCCCACATTCTCTTGAATGACACTCAGTCTCTGTGGCTCCCCAGCTTCCAGCCGGGTTAATGTGGCCAGAACCTTTCAGAACTCCCACCAAAAGGGGCTCTCACTCCCCTACTCACATTGCACCGTCAGGTACGCTGAGGCAGAGGGGGAGCGCCCCAGGCTGTTGCTCGGGACACAGGTGTACTTTCCGGCATCCTCAGGCTTCACCCGGAAGATGATCAGGGTGCCGTCAATCAGGATCCGCACTCTCAGCTTCAGGTCACTACAAAGACAAGGGGGGGATAGGTAGGCAGGAGTCCAGAGCAAGGGAGCAAGGCATCCTTCACCCATAGACGAGGTAAAGAGACCTGGATCTTCCTCCCATACCTGGGTCCTTCAGAAGACCCCTATGTGCAGAGGCTGGCCTTAGCACCCAGGAGACACGGACCTGACCACACCCTCTCCAAGCCCCTGGCTTCCTCATGGAGCCCCTGCTCAAAAACCATACAGGGTGGGGGGAGGCCTGACTGGGGATCCCAGCAGGGCCAGGTGGTGCTCACTTCTGGAAGTAGACATTCTCGTCCTGCCAGTACCAGGTGTAAGTGAGGTTGCCGGGATACGCCTCGGCCCGGCAGGTGAGCAGAGCATCCTGGGAAATGTTGACAGTGATGTTCTCAGGAGGGGAGACTATGAAGGGAGGCCCTGGGGAAACAGGAAACAAACATGACCTCACCTGGTAAGGGAGGGGGAAGACAGGGCCACCTAGAACACTCTGAAATGTCTCAGGAAGGGTACCCTAAACCCTGGGAGAGAGAGCTAGGGGTGGCACTGGCCCAGGGTGAACAGAACAACCAGGGCAGTTGTCATGGAGATGCTTCCCTCATCAGTCTCTGTTCTTATTCTCTCTACAAGTCCCAGAGATGCAAATAGTCCTGGGGTGTGCCCATATTATGCGCCACCCCCTCCCAAGAGCCAGCAGCAAACCTGTATCCACCCCGTGCACAACCCCACTATATATCCTGGCTCCCCAAACTAGGCATCTAACCCCCTACACACACCCATGCATGCCTGCACAAAGGCGTGCACCCACATACGCAGCCCTTCCTGCCCACCCTTCCTTCCAGCGGAGCCCTGAGCAGGAGACATGCAGGAGGGACAAAGGCCGCTCTTCCAGCCAGAGCTAGGAATAATCTTGTCTCCAGAGGAGTAAGAGGCTTGTGCTGCTTACCAACCAGAGGTTAAGAGGGCAGCTTGGGGGAGAGGAGGCAGGGGGAGAGCAGAATAAATAGAGGGTGAAATTCCAGCAGTCCTGGTGCTGGTTTCCAGACAGGCCGCACTGCCACCTGGCCCTCTTCTCAGAGGGCAGCTCTCCTACAGGCTGCAGGGGCCTCTGGCCATGCTGCAGCTCAGCACTCCAAGTTGGGAGGAAGCCAGAAGAGCTTGCACCACGGCGCCTGACAGACCAGACAGCTGGACAGCTAGAGAGCTAGACAGCCGGACAGCCACCACCTATCCTGTGGTTTCCCCTGCAGGTGGTGGTAGAGTGGGTGGCCTGACTCAGTGCAGAAGAGAGAACCTACCACCCAGACACCACCCTTTCTCTTCTGTGGGACTCTGGGCCCCAAGGAGGCACGGGCACCTCCTACTGCTGATCGTACATACCCCACTCCTGCCAAATACCCTTGGCGTTATTTAAATATTTGGGGTTTGGACTGGACTCTTATCTTTATTTATTGATTCCATCACTAATGGATGGAGACCGGAGAGAGGTCTTATTCCCTGGGGAAGGTGGGGGCATGGCAGGATACTATCTGGACAGAGAAAGTGGAAATCACCCAGCATGGAGCCACCCACGACAGCAGGCCACTGTAGGAGCTCCAGAGAGAGGTGTCCCACCCAGCTCTTCACTCACTCCCGTTGTACTACCCGTACCTGGGGCATGAAGAAGCCAGAGCGATGGTCCTACCTTGGACAAGCAGGTGGGTGGTGTGGATGGCCTCCCCCTGGATGCTATATGCACGACAGGTGTAGGCTCCTCTATCTTCCCGACTCACTGATGTCACCGTCAGGCTGCCGTCACTCACCTAGGGCCAGGAGAGATGGAGCTCAGCGCCCAGGGCTCTCTCCAACAACCGCCTTAGGAGGAGATGACCCAGGGCTCTCACATTTGGGCACCTGGGGATATGGAGGCAGGTACCTCATTTTCCATCCCTCTCCAACAACACAGACACCACGCCTGTGGCAGAGCCAGGATGCCTGATGTTTTCATGCCCACTCACACCTTTACAGTACATTCCCAGTCACATGAAAGGAGGTGGGGAATACCTTGGAGACAGAAAAAGGGGCAAAGGAAGGCTGGCCACCAAGGAGCAAAAACAGAGGCCCCAACAGAGAACAACACTCACCTGGTATTTCCCACTAGCACCTAGGAGTGTCCCCTCCTTGAGCCAGGTGACAATGGGCTTGGGATTCCCAAAAGCTGTGCAGGTCATGGTAATACTGCCACCCTCCTTGGCCTCAATGTACTGGGGGGGTGTTTCTGTAAAGGTAGGAGGAGCTGCAAAGAGACAAAATGCAGGTGGAATAAGCCAGGCTGCCTGCACATGGCTCCCACAGCACAGGCACTGGGCCTGGTATGCTCAGGTATAATACAAAGGGGAAGGATAAAGGTGAGAAGGTGGAAATAGGCAAAACCCTGCCCACACACTCACAGCAGAGGAGACCTAGAATTCAAAGTCAGATTGACTGGATCCAAATTCCAAACATTTTCTACTATAGTTGGCTAAGTCCCAATAAACTAATTTTTTTTATAATGTTCTCTAACATCTTTTTATTTTATTTTATTTATTTGTTTTTGTGTGGAAGAGTTGGGGTGCAGGTCAGAGGTGCAGGGGGGTGAGAGGATTCACCAGAAACACAGTGGGGAGCAGAAAAGGCAGATCTACTGAAATACACTGCTAAAGGGAGCAGCAGACAAGACAGGAGAGGTCTGCTGCACCATGTGGGTTAGCTCCCTGGCCAGGGATCGAACTTAGGCTATCATCATGGTGATAGTGCTGAGACTTAACTCCTAGGGCACCAGAGAGGCCCCCAATAAACTAATGTTTTATGAGCATCTATTGGGAAGTAAGTGCTCTACATTAGAGACATGTGGACAAATAAGACAATGATCTCCTGGCCTTCACTAGCTCCACAGATGTTTCATCATCTTTCACTCTTTTTCTTCACAGTCACTAAGATAGAGAGGCCCCTCTTTCCATAAACCTCAGCCCTGCCAGGCCTCATATTGGGACCTGCACCATCTGAGCCCCATCTAAGCCTGCAGATCACAGGTCAAGATTACACAGAATCTTCCTTTTCCAAGATTCTGCAGAGAAAAATCATTCCCCTTCCTTCCCATCAGGCTTCCACTGTACAAACTTCCCCCTTTTTAATCCTTTGATATGCCAGTGTGTCTCACCACCACTTGCATTGGAGTTTTGACTAAAACTCCAATAATCAGTTTTTAAGAGACGTGGCATCTGCAGTTAATAAAGATGCATCAAATATATATAAAGCAATTATTGCAGACCTAAAAAGAGACATTTACAGCAATACAATAGTAATAGGGGAGTTTAACACCCCACTTACATCAATGAACTGATCAACTAGAGAGAAAATCAACAATAACCTTAAACAAAGAATGAAAGCAGATGGGTTTAACAGATATTTATAGGGCATGGCACCCCAAAAAAGCTGAGTACAGGGCCTTCCCTGGTGGCACAGCAGTTGAGCGCTGGGCTGCGAAGCTGCCCACAGCCTCTGCAGCGCTGGTTCGATCCCCGGCCACCGGTCTAGGGTCCCACATGGCACACAGACCTCTCCTGCCGCCTGCTGCTCCCCTCAGCAGTGTACTTCGTCAGTCTGCTCTGCTCTCCCCTCTGGCTCTGGTGAATTCTCTCACCCTCCAGCACTTCTGACTGTACCCAGCGCTTATATAAATAAATAAATAAATCTTTAAAAAAAAAAAAACTGAGTACACATTCTCCTCAAGTGCACATAGACCACATGCTGGGTCATAAAACAAGTCTCAATAAACGCATGAAGTTTAAAATCATATCAAGTATCTTCTCTGACCACAGTGGTATCAACCTAGAAATCAACCACAAAAAGAAAGCAGGAAAAGTATCTAACAATACAGATTTACAAGATACTAGGAATGGAACAAAATGAAATCAAAGGAGAAATTTTAAAGTACCTGGAAACAACTGAAAATGAAGACACGAGCTATCAGAACCTATGGGACACAGTAAAAGCAACACTAGGCTGAAGTAAGTAGTAATAGAAGGCCTACATCAAGGAACAAGAAAGATTTCAAATAAATAATCTAATATTATAAGGAGCCAGAAAAAAGAAGAACAAATGAAACCAAAAGTCAATAAAAGGAAGGTAATAATAAAAATTACTGTGGTGATAAGCAAAACAGAAATTTTAAAAAAAAGATAATCAATGATCAAAAAGACCAAAAGCTGGTCCTTTGAAAAGATAAACAAAATATGCAAACTTTAAATAATCTCACTTAGAAAAAGAGAGAGAGAGAGCACTAATAAATAGAATCAGAAATGAAAGAGGAGTTACAATAGTCATCACAGAAAGACAGAAGAGCCTAAGAGACTACTATAAGCATCTTTATGCCAATAAATCCAGAAGAACTGGACAAATTCTTAGAACGATACACTATATCAAGACTAAATCAGGAGAAATAGAAAACTTGAACTGACCAATAACAAGCAAATAAACTGAACAATAATCAAAAGTTTCCCAAAAAAAAAAACCCAAAAGCTCAGGACCTAATGGTTTCACAAGTGAGTAATCATCAAAGATGAACAAATACCTATCTTTCTCAAAGTCTTACCAAAAAAATAGAAGAAAAGGGAATGCTTACAAATACATCTTAGAGACCAACATTATCCTGATATCAAAAGCAAAGACATCAGCAAAAGATGAGAAAACTACAGACCAATATCCCTGATAAACATAAACATAAAAATCCTCAACAAAATCTTAGCAAACTAAATTCAACAACACACTAAAAGATTCATACACCATGACCAAGTGGGATTTATTCCAGGGATGTAAGAATGGTTTAACATTTGCAAATCAATCAATGTAATTCATCACGCCAACAAAAAGAAAGATAAAAACATATGATCCTATTGATAGACGCAGAGAAAGCATTTGACAAGGTCTAACATCCATTTATGATAAAAACTCTCAATAAGGGGTGATAGAAGGAACATATGGCAATATAATAAAGGCCATGTATGACAAAACCATAGCTAACATCATTCTCAGTGGTAAAAAACTGAAATCTTTTGCCCTAAGACAAGGACATGCACTTTTACCGCAACTATTCAACAACATATTAAAAGTCCTAGCCAGAGCAATTAGGCAAAAGAAAGATATAAATGGAATCCAAATTAGAAAAGGAGAAAATTATCACTATTTGCAGATGACATGATAATACACATAGAAGATGCTAAAGACTTCACTAAGAAACTATTAGGAACAATAAATCTTTACAGTAGAATGGCAGGTTACAAAATCAACATACAAATGCCTTTGGCATTTCTCTACACCATCACCTAAAAGGGAAGTAAATCAAGAAAATATCATCATTAATAGCCACATCAAAAAGAATTAAGTGGCTAGAAATAAATTTAACAAAGGAGGGGAGAGACCTGTACAAGGGAAATTATAAGGCATCCTTAAAAGAATAGAAGACACAAAGAAATGTAAATATATCCCTTGCTCTTGGGTTGGAAGAACTAACATTGTTAACATGGTCATCTTACCCAAAGCAATATACAGATTCATTCTAATCCTTATTAAAATTTTGATGGCATTCTTCAAGGAAATAAAATAAACATTACTGAAATTTGCATGGAACCACAAAAGAGCCTAAATAGCCAAGACAATCCTGAGAAAAACAGAATGGAGGTATTTACTATACTCCCAGACATCATATATACTACAAAGCTATAATAATCAGAACAGTATGGTATTGGAATAAAAACAGACACAGACACCAATAGAATAAAATTAAGAGGCCAGAAATAAACCCACATTATATGGACGGTTAATCTATGACAAAGGAGCCAAGATTATACAGTGGAGAAAATAAAATCCTCTTCAACAAATGGTAGGAAAACTAGACAGCTACATGCAAATGAATGAATTTTGACCACTATCAGATACCATACAAAAAACTAACTCAAAATAAAGACTCAGATATAAGACCTGAAACTGTATAATACATAGAAGAAAACATGGGAAAAACACCCTACAACATTGGCTTCAATGATGTCTTTGGAGCCTTAACTCCAATAATAAGGGAAGCAAACACAAAATAAACAAATGGAACCACATCAAACTCAAGTTTGTGCACAGCAAAAGGAAGGTGGAAAGGGCCGAATGGACTATGGTTAAGGACTATTGGGGATCTGGTTGTGGGTGTGGTGTGGTGACACACATCTGAAGAGATATGAACCTAAACCCCTAAAACAAATAAAGTGCTGTAAGCCAGTATTTTCTCAATAGAAATAAAATATTATAAATGAATGAATGAACTGATGAATGAATGAAAAGAGACTAATGTCTCATGTGTCTGTGTTGCTTATAGAAGTGATCTGAAGCCTTGGATTGTCAGTTGGTAGTCTCTGAATTGACGGCCCAAATCAGAACCCCAGCCTGGAACTGCACAGTCCAGATAGAATAGGTCACTTAGCTCATCTCAAGTACCCACTTGCCAGGCTCCCACTTATTTTGTACCCTGAGCAAGTTACTCAGCCTCTCTGGGCTTCCTAAATCCCCCACCCTCCAGAACTGATGTGAAGAGTAAATGAGATAAAAATTATGAAAAGGATGGTGTAAAATGTAAACATGAAAATGTTGGTTATTTTGCCATTACTATCTTTATTACCATCTCCCCAGGAGCCTCAGAGGCACAGATGAAAAGCTTTGAGAAGGGTCTCTCCTCTCCTGGCAGCACTGCCCTGAGAACTAGTCAGAGAGCTTTAGATTTCATCACCCATTCCGAGGCCAACCTCATCTTCGATCACATTTCCCCCTTTGCTGTGCTCTAACCACAGTGGTCTTTGTCTTCCTTTGTCTTCCAAGAACATCCAGCCTCAGGACCTTTGCCCCTGCCATTCTCCCCATAGGTTATGCACACCCAGATCACATTCCTTCAGTACGTGCCTTTGCTGACATGCCATCTCTGCTTTACCCAACCAGTCTATCCAACATGGCACTCTCAGCATCTCCAGCATTTTAGACTTATTTTCTTTAAAGCACTTGTCACTAACTCTCCTTCAGAGCAGATACTTTTCTGTAAATCCCACTGTATGCCCAGCTTCTAGCATAATGCCTGGCATATAACATCGTATTCAACAAACATCTGCTGAATGGACAAAGGAGTAAAATGAATGAAGATGCACATGCACCTCCAGGCCAACACAAACACATGGAAGTTCGTAAGAACAAGACCATGACAAGAGCACTTTCTCTGACAATCCCCAAAGCTCTTAGCTCAGTGTGGGCACAGGAGGCACTTGGATAGAATATTGAATGAATTAAGAAGGGCACTCACACATACACCATCTTCATGAAATTCAATTCTCATCCAGTATCTAACACACTCAAATCATGGCACAAATCATTCCAAATCCTTTCAAAAGAATCCTGAAATCCTAACATCCAGGCCTCCCTCCCTATTATGGAATGTCAGCTCATCTCCAGTGGCACCTCCTGCCAACCCTGCCCCTGAAACACAGTTAACACAGCCACAGCCTCTATTACCTCTGGTGTCAAGCTTTAAAGAAAAGATAATAAATTAAATTACGTCCTGAAGTGACAAATTAATTACTAATTACATAATTACTTTATTATTTAGGTGCTAATCAGGAAAGTACTTTGAACAATTTCGAGTTTTCAGGAAAATAATGGTTTGACTCTCGATTATTTACTGAATTAGGTGTTAGCTTGCCAGCTGCATTTCCAGGCTTAATTCTTTTTTACAAGTGCCCTATAATTAATAGTGTAGGTTAGAAATAGGCTGGTCTCTCCTCCAAGTAATTCATCGACCTAAAGCAAGGCTTGGCTTGGGCTTTTTGGGTATTTTAGATGTGATAAAGAAATAATTAGGTTTGCTTCCACCCAACTGGGCCTTCAAGAAAACAGAGAAGGAGGAGATCACTTGTAATTCTAATTTTCACTGGTCTTTCATTTTCCAAAGGTGATCCCTGTCAGGAGATGCCTGACATTGAATGCTCTTGCTTGGAAGCAATGGAATGCTGGTGCTCTGGTGTGAAGTTCTCCTTCGATAATAAAAATATGAATGCTGCCAGGAACCTCCAAACTTCGGATGAAGGGGAGGAGGAATAAAGAATAATCTCAGGAGACAGGCTCCTCAGGGAGGGCAGAGAACTCTCTGAAGAGCCCTGGTTCTACAGCCCAGAGCACCTGGTGCAGTCAGCTTTTCCGCCGGACCTTCCTTATAAGCAGCCTATATGCTCTCCCCTCATACACCAGCTCGCCTTCTTCTGGGCATCCAGACACATGCTGTTCCCTCTGTCTGGAAAACCCCTCCCCAACTCCAACGCCCACACCTGGCTAACATCTTTTCCCTGGTCAGGGGTCTGAAGAGTGGTCCCTTCCTCAGAGAAGCTCTTCCTCAGCTGTGCTCCCAAAATCCACCCTGTGTTGGTCTCTGGTCATGGCTGCTTCTTGAAATCTAAAGAGAGTCTGGCCTGGTGGTGTCTATGGCAGTCTCCCCAGAGCCTGCCACAGAGTGGACATTCATGTATCTTGAATGAATAATTATTGGTAGATGCACAAATGCCCTCAAAAGACCACAGTTCTCTGCCTCTTCCAGACTGTGGTCCATTCTCTGTTACTTCATCCCTGCCACTACATTTTCCTCTGATTTAGGCTCTTCTCTCTGTGGAGGAGGAGATGGCCAACAACCTCTTACACATTATTACCCACGCATAATTATGGTTCCAGACACTGTGCAAGACTCTTTCTCACAGCATGTCACTGAATCCTCACAACAGCCCAGCAAAGAGGGTTTGTTTTCCATAACTGAGAAAATCGAAGCTTAGAGAGATTTGAGTCGCCCAGGATCACACAGAAGTGAGTTCATGAAGAAGCCAAATCTTTTCAGGGTCTTGTACCAGGCCTATTCCACTCCAAGCAACTAGGAATTCCTAGACAATTACCCACACTGGTGCAAACTAAGACAAAGTCCAGAAATTCCATTTCCCCATTCTGGGAGTGCCCACTGACCACTGGACAACTCGGACACTCAGGCATCACTGGCAGCACTGTGCATGAGGAAAAGGCAGTGGAACTCGAAGGACACTTCAGCCAAGTTTAGGAATGGGCATGAGTGAGAAGGAAAGTGACGTGGGGACTCTTGGCTTGGTTTTCATCAGCAAAGCTTTTAGCAGAAGATTTACCTTCCTAATTATGTTTTGCTTGGGCTAATATTAAGATGAGTTTTCCTTCCTGGCACACACAACAGCTGGCATCAAAAGGAGGTGACTCAAACCTTTGGAGTGTGGGGACAGCCTACCAAGGCTTAAAATAAGCTTCCAGTGTGCCTCTTGGGACTGGCTGGTGGGAGCTGACAGCATCTACGGGTCAGTTGCTTGGACCGACATGGACCTAGGCCACCATCTCAGAGTTTTCTTTCCCAGACATCAGTGCTCTTGTTCAAATACTCTGTTCTCCCAGGATCCAGAGTCGGTTCTCAACCCAGGAGAGCACAACTTGACCTAACCCTGGGAGGAAAGACTCAGCCTCACAAGGTAGAATAGGATAGAGTCATCCTTCAGGGCAAGCCAATACTGAAAGAAGCTTCCAAGGCAGGAACAATATCAATTTCTCTCCCAACCATAGACCCTAAAGTCACAGGCATTGACCCTAAGGACCCAAGCCATGTATGGCACAGCCAAGCAGAGAGGACTATGTCCATAAGGAGCATAGCATCTGTGACACAGTGGTGGCTGAACTCATCCTGCCATGAAGCAAATGAAGAACAAAAGTCTGGTTGGAAAAAGAAGGCAAAATAAAACATTTTACTACAACCTCACTCTGCAGGGGGCTACTTCAAATTCTCTCCATGGTTTCAGGCTTCTCCGGGCTCCTCCAGAATATCTCCTCCTACATAAGAGCTCACAGGGACACAAGGGGAGCACCCAGGCCCCCACCCTAGGCCAACGCTGGGAACTCAGCAAACTCATTGGGAGTCCTCGGCGAAGCCCTCCTTCACCATGGCAGACACACAGCACCACTCACTTCACCTAAGTGCTCAGTAAGCGAGAGCCATTAAGCTGTTACTCTTGCAGGTTTCTCCCATATCATCACACAGCAAACCCGGCACAAGCAAGGGCCAAGTCGGGCCTCACTCATCACAGACTTCCCACGATCAAGGGCACAGCCTGGCACTCAGCAGCCCTTCACCACAATTACTCAAATGAGTGTATTTAACAAAGAACCAAAATAGAACCTAAAAAGGGAGACTGGGAAGGGTTGGGGGGATCCAGGAATTCCACTGGAGAGGGGAAGCCTGTCAGGGTTTTGCCGAGCCTGGGAACGGGTACCTTGTCACCACAAAGCCTGAACCCTCCTGGTTGCAAGAACCAGCATCCCATCTCCCTCTCCAGACTCTGGTACCACTAACCACAGCAACCACCCCACCTCCCACCTAAGAACCCCACACACCCCACTGACCACAGGCACTGCCCTCTCGCACACCCCACTGACCACAGACACACGAAGAGGACCCCCGAGGGTCACAGGGGGTGAGAGTTGTGATCTAAAAGGCAGGCCTGGCTGAGGCAACTCTGCAGCAGGAGTGTGGGGCAGGGCAGGGTGTGGCTGGGAAGCTGTTGGGTCAGAGCGCAGTCCTGGGGCAGCCCGGAAGGAGGACGCACGCACCGTTGATGGTGAGGTGCACCCAGCTGCCGTTGTGGAAGGTGTCATACTGCTGGTCCAGCATGAGCACTTTGCACTCGTACCAGCCCTGGTCCTCAGAACGAACCTGCTCCAACCGCAAGGATGCTTTGTCATGAAGACTTGCCCGGCCTGGGGGAACAAAGTGGACAGAGGCCATCAGGGCCAGAGCAGCAGCACATCACTCCCCTGCCCAGCCAAAGGCAGAGAGGTCCAGTGGAACCTTCAGACTGTTTCCCATGGCAGGGCCCCAAAACACAGTTGGCACCAACCTCCGGCAGCAGGTGGCAAAGGAAAGGGCATAATAAAGCCTTGGCCATGGAGCTGCCTTGCCACCCCGGCCCTCCAGCCTCAGCCGGCCCCACCCACCGCAGCAGCAACTCAGGCTGGGAGAAAAGTCTCCATTCCTTACAATGCCCCATTCTTTTGGAGATCTCTTGGGACAAAGGAAAGGCAGGAAGGTTACAAAGTTAGGGGGCTGGGGGCAAGAGAGAAGAGGAGAAAGGATGCAGGGGAGGAAGGGGAGGAGAGGAGGAGAGGAGAAAGGATTGTGTGGGGAGAGGGAAGGTGCAAACCAAAGAGGATGTGGTAGGGTGGTCCCTGGCAGCCCCTGGAGCACCTCCATTCAGGCTGAGTAGCTCCCACCTGGGCCCCCATGACTACCACACCCAGCAACCCCCTGTCCGGCTTCCCATGGTGGAGCAGAGAAGGGCAGATGGGGGACCAGGGTGCTGGGTCCCCTCCCAGTCCCACTGCCAGTGCCAGTGACGATTCCTTTGACCAGAGCCCAGGCCGCAGAAGCTGAAGTTGCAGGGAGCACAAGGATGAGGAGGGGCTGGCAGGTAGAACAAAGAGCCTCAGAGCCACCCTCAGCTCCATCTTCTTCATCCCTTGTGGTGAGGAGAAGGGAAGAGTCGCAGAAGCTTTGGACTGGCATCTCCCTTCCTCTGTGACCCCAGGAGGCAGAAGGCAGAGTACCCTCAGGGTCCTCCCTCCCCGCACCCACCACCTTGGCTCAAGCCTCTCCCGATACCACCCCTTCTCTGCTTTTCACCTTAACAACGGTGATCTGCCTAAAAACCAGACTATCAAAACTAACTGTGGTCCAAAAAAAAGAGGGGAGAGGGGAGACACAGACATAGCAGGGGGGGAGGTGGAGGGAGGGAGAGACAGACAGAGACAGAGAAAGAGATGGAAGCTCCAAGGAACCAATGCAATTCAGGTCTCAGAAGTCAGAAGTAAAGATAAAAGCAGTGTCCCACCTACTGCCTCTCTTCCTTTAAGCCCCAACACACACACACACACACACACATGCTCTCCTATGCATGCACTTCCATGCAAACACACACTCCCACACATGCACACTCCCACATGCGCATTTACACAAGCACACTCACATGCACACGTATATGTAAAATCATACATGCACACTCCCATGCATGCATGCTCACGCACACTCACACTTACATGCACAAAGCCTATACTTGCACTCATGTGTACAGTCACGTGCACGTGTGCTCATGTGCACATTCACATGTGCACACACACATGCACACTCCCATACATGCACACTCATGTGCACACTCAAGCACACCTCTCCTGGCCTCGCACCTTCCTCCCTGGAGGGCAGGCACTGGCAGTGACTCACAGTGAGGCCTCTGCTAGCAGGAGTAATTGCAGAGAAAGACACCAAGGGGCCAGGAAGAGGGAGGCTGGAGCAGTGGTGGAAGCAGAGAGCAGGCGCCCAGCAGTGGCACAGTCTGGCATAGACAGCTAAGAGGTTTACTTACTTTCAGGGATGGGATGAGGTCCCAACTTCAGAGCCAGAGGGAGGGAGTGGGCGAAGCCAGACAGAACAAACCCTCCAGCGGCTGCCAGCAGCCTGGCCCAGGATGGCAGCTCTGACTCAGCTTCCTGCCTGCACAGAACTGCCCTCCTGCCTGACCTCACTCTGTGTCCCTGATGCCTGCCTCTGCCCCATGCATCCCCGGGCTGTGCTGCTCAGGAGGCTGCATGCCTACATCACTTACCTACTCCTCCCTCTCCCCCTGCCACTTAATTAAAACCTAATAGAGCTCAAAGGATGGGAGGAAAGAATCAGACACCATGGAAAACAGACATAACAGACCAGTGAGAAGAAGGCAAGTGGCAACGGAGATGAAGGCAGAAAGAATGTGGTCATGTGACCACTGGGAGCAGGAGGGCCCAGATGGAAGAGGGGGCTGTGCCTAAAGCAAGGAGAGGAAAGGGGTGTGCAGGGAAGCCCCCACTGGTCCCAACCTTACCTGCATACTCTGGGTCCACATGGGGGGGATAGTAGCCAAACTTGATGAAGATAGGGATGGGCACCCCAAACTTGAACCACTCTACAACATAAGGCGGGGGCTGCCCCGTCACCGGGTGGATCACGTCGCATCGCAGGACCACAGCCTCGCCAGCTCTCGCCGTCACAAACTCGGGCTCCTCTCGAAGGCCGTGGGCACCTAACAGGAGAGCAAAGTGGGAAGGCAGAAGAGGAGGCGGCAAGAGGTCCTGCCCAGGCAGCCCCGGAGGCAGCCCCTGCCACCTCCAAGGCCCTCTGCCCCGGCCCCTGGCCCTCCTCCCTCACTCCTCAGAGGGTCCCCAGTGCACGTGACACCCCTCCTCCTTCTCTGCTCACATTCCCTAAAGCCCTGAGCCTCCTCACATCCAGGAGCCTGAGGAGGAAGAGGAGAAAATAGACAAGGAGGAGGCAAAAGGGAAAGATCCTCTCAAGTTCCACACACCAATCCCAGGCAGAGGCGTGATCATGCTCTCCCCTGGGATGTGCGGCCTAAGAATTCTGAGAGGTCTGGTCAGTGAGAAGGTGGAGGGCCTGCGCCTCCACGCTGGGGACCCATGGTCAGAGCCAGAGCCAGGGGAAACATGGCTCCCTTCCTGCCTGGGAGGAGCCGAAGAGCCAGTGGCCTTCTCCGCCCCACCCCCAGCTCAGCCTGATGTTTGCAGCACAAAACAAGAGTACTCCACACAGGAGCAGGGAATCCCTGACAAGCAGAGCCGAGGCTGCTCATGGCAGCACCAGAGGGAAAAGCCCACAGGCCTGAGCTGGCCTCTCCAGGCCCCTCCTCCTCTGTCCTCAAGCCTGCCTCAGAAAGAGGGGAGCAGGAAAGGCCTGCAGCTTTCTCATTCCCCAGCCCCAAATCTACAGACTGAGGAGCCCCACATCAGCACCATTAGGATGGCAGGCACTGGGAACAGAGGGGGGGGGCCAAGAGCTAAGGGAAACCATTCCACCTCTGGCAGAGGACAAACCACACAGGTAGAAGGGATGCACCAGACCCCCGGCAGGGGAGAAGGGGAGACCAAGACAGACCCAATGCAGCCCCCAGCCACAAGCGGGCAGATGCAGCAGAGAAATTAACCGAGACATCACTTCAGGCACCTCACTCCTGGTCCCTCAGCAGCCCAATTCCACGGCTGTAGGGGAGGGGAGGTGGTTCTAGACAGAAATGCAGCCCATCCTCTGGTCTGACACTCCTCTCTCCCACACCAGGCCTCTGTGCCCACAAAGCACCTTGTCCAGCTTATCTGCCAGTGAAAGTGAAGTCACCCCCTCCTGCCTGTCTCGCACTACACAACACAACCCAGGCTTGCTACAGCTTTCCCCAGGCTGTCCCTCCCATCCCAGGACCCGCCAAGCCTTCCAGGCAGCACCGAGGACAGCAACTGCGCCACTGAGGTTCACCGCCAGGGGGCGCTAGCGCTCCCACCACAGAGGACGCAGGAGAGGATGCACCTGTCTGGGGGGATGTCGGTCTGGGGTGCCTCTAGGTCTGACACTTATTGCATCTCACTGGTTTTACTTCCCCCTTTCTCCTGTGTTTCTCTCCTATTCCTGCTCTTGTCTCTCTTTGTCTCTTTGAGTCTCTGTGCCTCCTCAAGTCTCTGTGTCTCTGACTCATTCTCTTTAGATCCCACTCTATACGGGTGATTCTTTCTACTTCCCTGTCTCTCTCCTTGTTTCTGTGTCTGTCAGAGTGTATGCGTGTGTGTGTGGTGTTTGTACTGGGGGAAGATGTGGTTTCCTGTCTTCCTGTGCGAGGGGAAGGGATTCTGCCTGCTTGTCTGTGTGGAGGGGCCTCTGTGTGCTTGTGGTCCCTGTGTCTGCATCCCTCTCGTGTCTGTCTGTATGTTGTCTGTGAGTCCCTGTGCTTCTCTTTCTCTCTCCCCCTCCCCCTCTCCCTCTCTTCCCCTGCAAGTTGCGGAAGGAGGAGGAGGCAAGCCCTTCCAGAAGCTGATTGGCTCCTGGTGACATCACTGTTTTCTAGAGAAAGAGCTAAGATCACAGAGTATTTTTGGAGCAGAGCAGAGTGCTGTGCTCACCTGCCAGAGGCCCCAGCAGGTTTCCTGGCCCCCACCCCTCAACCCTGCTTCAGGCTAAGTTTGAATCCTAGTCCCTCAGGGAAAGCGGGAAGAGAACCCAGCTGTGGCAAGCACCTCCCCCTCCACCCTAGGGGCACCATAGGGACAGAGCCTGCCTCCCAGCATCCAAGAGCACAAAGGCTCATCCTGGACCCAGGAGAAATGGGCACATGCAGCGGATGCTGTGAGCAGATGAGCAGGGAAGCATTCGTGTGTGCATGTGTGTGCACACAGGTGTGTGTGTGTGCACATGTCACTCTTAGCAGAAGGATGTGTGGGTATGCGTGTGCATACATGTGTCACTATTGGGAAAAGACCTGAGTGTGTGTGTGTGTGTGTGTGTGTGTGTGTGTGTGTGTGCTTGCAATATGGGTGTGTGCAGCACAGACTTTTGAGGAGAGGAAAAGAGGAAATACAGAAGCCTGGGGGAAGAGGATGGAGTCATTACCAGAGGAAGGGGCCAGGGTACCTGGTGTGGTGGAGAAGCTGTCCACAAAAGGTGGCTCCTTCCCAGATCATTGGCCCTAGAGCCTCAGGCAGGAGCAGGAACTGCCATATAACTGGCTACTGATTGCCTGCCTCTGACAGAGAAATTATTGGGGGGGTAGAGGGGGGTCCTCTGCCATGGGTTCCCACAGTGCTGGCTGCTCATTTGCACCTAACGCTGCCTCATTCTCACTGCATGACAATGAGCAGCCTCTTTCACACCTCCCTTCACTGGCAGTGGCTCCAGGTCCCCTCCCCCATCCCAAGCCAGTCCCTGGGCTCAGGGTCCAGAACCCCAGTCAATCCCACAGGGGACCCTTTCAACCCAGGAAAAGCAGGTGAAGAGGGGAAGGTAAGATAGTCCTCCCAAAGATGACAGGCAAGGCAAAACGAGGCATGGGGAGGAGGGGTAGAATCCTACATCCCAGCCTTGAAACTCAGACTAATTCCTCCTGGGTTCTGAATCCTGAAATATTGATCAGGTTTCTTCCCCATTTCTTCAACACACACACACACACACACACACACACACCATGTTCCCTCACTCTATCACCCACAGGCACTTCTCCCTAAGCGTGATCCTTTCTGAGCCAAAGCATGTCTAATGAAACACTTTCTCCAGAAAAGCTCCATATAAAAAAAAAGTAAAGAGGCTGGCAGTAAAGAGGGAAAGGGGCTTGATGGAGGAGAACAGATAAACTCAAACTTAGGAAGACACCAAGGCCAAGTCTAAAAGTGAAAGATTCAAGCCGCAATGAAGGAGACACAGGCAGGTCTAGTGCTTACTGGAGACAGGCAGAGCCCCGTTCAGGGAGAGAGAGAAGCCTGCGGAGCACAGAGGACTCAGGCACTGGACCTAGAGCAAGAACCCAGCCAGGGGTCAGAGCAGAGGCTGCAGGTTCAGGGCACGGGGGGCTTCTTCCAGCAGAGCTAGCTTCCAACAGAACAGGAAGGAAGGGGTGGGAGGGAGAAGCAGAGGATGGGTCATAGCCTGGAGTGGGGAGGGAGAGGCTATGAGACCCTTAGAACCCTCAAAGAAGCCTGCAGCAGCCCACAGGGATGAGGCTCTGACTTCAGAGGGAAAACAGCTTTGCAGTGGTGCAGACAGGAGGGGCAAACGTACCCCAGATTTCATTTTAGAGAACGCAGGAATCAGCAGTACCCTGAGCGCAGCAAATCTGTATCTTGGGGATCTGCCCAGCCCACTTTGGAGTTGTTCTGCCCCAGCGGGAAAGAGAAAGCAGGAGGGTAAAGGAGGGGGTGGCCCCTGTGGTCTGGCTGACCTTTTGGGAAGCCCATAGGGTACAGATGGGCTCTCTGGGCCAGGTGGTACCCAGCAGGCAGCCAAGTCCAGGCTGCCAGTGGTCTCCTATGGGCAGAGAACCATGAGCATCCGTCCTGGCATGGCCCCACGTCCCGCATGTGCAACCTGGAGTTCTTCCACACAAGCAGGGCCGGGGCAGGAAGCGCACCAAGAATGGGAATGACACTAAATACCAGCAAAGGTAGAAGAGCTGGGCAGGGAGAACCCCAGGAGGACCTAGGCTCTCTAACACCTATGGCATGCGGCCTTGGTGCTGCAGGCCCGACACAAACTTCATTCAATACCACAGCACCCACCTGGCTGAAGGACTGCCCTCTCTGTTTTACAAATGAGCAAACTGCAAGACTACCTGGCTAGGCCATGTGCCTCAGGCAGCATGTGGAGGTTCGTTCCTCCTGCCCTACCCTGGGCTCTCCCAGCTGCATCCCTCCCCTTTCCCAGCTGCTGGGTTGGGGGCCAGCCCTGGCCCACCACACTCTCTGGATGACTCTGACAGGCAGACAGACCCCTGCTACCCAGGACGGGAGAAAGATCAGGCTGAGCCTCTTTCAGAAGGTGCTGGCCAGCTCTGGTGGTTCTGGACTGAGCACCACTCTGCTTGAGACCCAGAAGTCTCTGCCCAGGCCTGGCAGTAGCCATAGTACAAAAGGACTGGCCATGGGGTGAGCAACAGCCTCCATCACTCATGAGTACCAGTCCTCACTGGGGCTTCGTCCCTTCCTCCTGCTCTTCCTCCTTCTCCGGGCACCAGACTCCCAAACCACAGGCCTGTTGTCTAATAATACCAGCGACAGCCACCACCACCTCCATCTGCTAGCCTAAAAATAATCCCTGCTGAGTCCAAAAACGGCCCAGCCCCCCATAGTTCCCCCAATTTCCCCTCCCTGAGAAGCCAGGAGGTTCCAGGGAATCCCACAGAGCCTCCCACGGAGGTGCACACCCAGAGGGTTGGCATGAGAAAGACAGAGGACAGAATCCCTGTTACCCAAAACAAAGCTGAAGACCACTCTCCAGTCCAAGATGCAGAGGAGAGCTGTGTCCTTGTTGACCTTTGCAGAAGGCAGTCGGGCTAGAGGTCACGGCAACACCAACCTGCCTCCAGCAAGGACCCTCCACGCCCAGCCTAGGCAGGCCTTAAAAGAAGTCCCGACCTACAGTCTCCCCACTGGCGTCCTCACAGTCCTTCTGGCCCCACTCCACATCAAACCTCTCAAGGTCAGAGATCAGTGATCGGACAGACCCTAGCCAGGAAATATTCTCATCTGCTGTAGA